TTGAAACTTTACTGTAGAACTTTTTTGAACATTTAGAACCTTTATATTTCTTAAATTCAATACCATTGACGTAAATTTTTGAAATAATATGTAAATATACAAGTAATATTTCCGTTTAATATAAGAAAAGTGCTTATAGGGATTTTAAAAATTAAAATATAATTGAAAATCATATATAGTAAAGACACTTTGATTAACTACAGTAAAAACTTTGATTTACTATAGTGAAAACTTTGATACTCTAGTTAACTATAGTAAACTTTTGTTAAGGTAATGTCCAGTGCGTCTATATATGGCTGGTGTTATCAGGACCTCATTTTCAGTATCTAATATTGAACACTTCCTCAAAATGTTCTATCCAGCGGTTCTGTATGGCTTTTTCTTTTGATAATACAGTTCCTTTTTTTTATCTATAACTGGTAAATCTGATGATTTAAATTTACCTGCTAGTGTTTTTGTTATTCTATAGAGGACCTGCATATCTTGTTCTGCTTCGTTAGCTAGTTTTTTCAGTGTATGCCTTCCTGTCTGCTCTTGCATTCTTTACTTCTTTGTCTATAGCCCGATATTCTTCTTGGAGCTGATCTTTTTGTCTCTTGGATTTGATGGACAGGGTTTTCTTTTTCTTTTCTTTCCGTTGCTCTATGATTTTCCATGTATTGTCGGAGATTCATTCTTCTTTTTCCTCTTTCTTGGGCCAAGTAGTTGCTGAGCAATTTCTAATAATACTTCATTAAATGTTTCCATATCAATTTCATCATCTGAGTGTTCCATGAAAACCGAAAAATTGTTCTGAACTTTTAATTGAAAAGATCTCTTAATTTTGGTGTCTTTAAGCTTTTGGATATTAATTTTAAGCGGTTCTCCTTGATTTCTTTAACTTCAACTTGACTTTAGCCATTACTAATGAGTGGGCACTTTCCACGTCAGCTCCTTGTTTTGCAACTACATCCAGGAGGCTACTTCTCCATCTCTCGTTAATGATGAACTGGTCAGTTTGGTTTTTTCGTATGACTATCCGGGGAGTCCCATGTTGTCTTATGGATATCTTTGTGCATAGATATGTCCCGCCAATTATTAATTTGTTTTCTTGGCAGAAACTGCGCAGCCTCTCTCCGTTGCTGTTACATTGTATTAATCCTTGCTCACCCATAATGTTTTCTTTGCCTTGGTTGCTTTTTCAAACTTTTACATTTAAGTCTCCCAAGATAAGCAGAACATCGTGAGATGGTGTATTGTCTACTATCTCTTGTAAGCTATCATAGAAAGAGACTTTCTCATCATCTTCTGCATCTTCTGTTGGCGCATAGCAGACCACTACAGTGAGTTTGGCAAAAGCTCAGTTGAATCTTGCTGTTATGATCACTCACAAGTTTTCATTCTAGTAGACATCTATAAACTTGTTTTGTTATGATTATTGCTACTCCTCTACTATGTTGTTAATCAGTTCTTCCAGAGTCGAGTATTTGATGTCCTGACACTAGTTGTTTTGACCTATTTCCTGTCCATCTAGTTTCACTTACTCCAAGGAGCTCGATCTTGTAATGCTTCATTACTCTCACCACTTGCGCAAGTTTTCCTGTTTGGTAGAGGGTCATAGAGGATGTTCCAGAAGTCCACTCTACGTGTTATTTTTGGTCGAAGGACATCTATCAGAGTGGGAACTGGTATCCGAGTGGTTTCAATCCTTCTTCCATCATTTTGGTATCTGTTTAAGGTTTCTGTAGCTGCATTATTGGACATGTTAGGATTTTTTGCCCTAAGCATAACCCCCTGAACTCGGAGGGCCATTGGTTTTCTTTCAGGGTTGTCCTTCCCTTAGATGATGGCGTTCCATTGCTTTCGTGCTCATCTACACGGATTTTCTGTCTGGATTTTCTTCCATAGCCTTTGACTTTCACAAGCCTTCCCACAAGGCAGTGAGGCTATTTGACCCATACCTGGGGACTAGGTTTGCAGGCACCATGGCATATCTACTCACCGGTGGGCCATGCATGCCGTGCATTTAGGGGCCTAGTCTCCAACAAGACCCAGTGGTTCTGCTTGGGACCGTAAGGTACACAATGTCTATCTGCTACATCGGGGAGGTTTCCATATCTGGGCCACATAGGTCTAACTGTGGAGAGGCTGTACCTGGCAGATAAGAATTGCACATTCTGCTTATTTTTCGCAGCGAACTGATAGCCAGGGGTGGAGCTGAAAGCGAGAGTGACAAGCACAGAAACAGACGGACACACACACTACAAGACAGCAGACATTCACACTAAGACAGAATATCACTTTTATTCAGTAAATAAATCACAGTATTTCAATGTTGAAAATGTATTAAAAAAGAATCAACGTCACTATGCAGTTTAAGAATTCAGAAACGTACAAGAATTCTATCATACAAAGTAGAAGACTGAAAAAAAAGTAAAGTGAACTTTCTGTTGATTTAAATGCGTAAGTTTGTTTCATCGATCTTAAATTCCCCCTTCACTATACAGATCAGTGTAAGGTCTGTCTCATCACTACTGATGATAAAAGATGTATTGTTTTTAAGAGGTTGCTATTGAAAAAAAAAAAGATTTTATGTATTGCAAAGGATAAAAGAATCACTCATTAGATACTGTTGTGTTTTAAACAACGAAGTTTCAGGACAATTAATTATATATATATATATATATATATATATATATATATATATATATATATATATATATATATATATATATATATATATATAATGAAAAAAAATTAAACGTTTTCTTTATACCTTCAGGTGTACAGTCAATAATTTTTATCCTTTCATACTCTGTGTTTCTAACTCCTTTTGGAATTTAAACAGGACGTGCGTCATACATGCAGACTCTTTAATTTGTTGACAAATCCTTTTCAACATTAAACCTATGTTGAAGTTAAAGACGATTTCATATTGTTTACTATTTACTGTATTTCATGGCCTTCCGTGTGTTTTACGGAGTGCCTTGTCAATCTTACGGAGTTACTGTACCAGCAAAGGTAGGTAAAACTAATTACTGTATATCTACCTGTCAATAACAACAATGAAAACATAAGCAACGACTTGTAGATGCTTGTACACATATTCATTGTTAAAATGTTCAAGCTATATATTTTACGGTGAACATTTTTTTAAACCAATGAATGTATGATGTATGTATGTACCATTTTTTACTTGATAAGCAGTTTGACAATATAAAATTTGGGTGCGACAGTGATATTCCATGACGTATTTATAGCCGGTAACATTATCACAACCCCTAGTAAATATCTCCGAGACTACATTGTAATCTTATTCAAAACTTAATCAATAGGCATCTTTGTAATACCTTCGCTGAAAGTCATTTTATATACACAAATTATCCAGTCAGAAATCAGCATATTCTGTTTTGTCTCGTCGTTACTCAAGCGTTTACTGACATTAATTAAATTCCATATGGAAAGCTTACTCAGCAATCCAATGACTGGAACCTGTCCACTATGCTGTTTGAAACTTTCATTTTGTTTTCAGTCGAAGGTCCACTGTAGCCTGGAAAAAATAACGCTGACATGTGAAGAATTTTTTAAATTTTATTTTTTCAACACATTTAACTATCAAGTAAATTTAACAGCATTATAATGATCAGTTTTGGGACTTACTATAGCATTAATGGAGAGTTTATATTCAGATAACAAAGGAGGGGGGGGGGGGGCGATTATCCATCATTTATATAAAAGAGTGCTTCTGTCTACTTATTCTCCACAGTTCTTAAGGACGCTTAGTATATTTTTGATTTGTTTACAGTCAGAAAATTCTCACAAACTTTTTTTTTAATGCAGGCTTTATTGTCCCGTTACAGTATCAAATAAAGCTAACAAAATTATTTTTAAAAAAAATAGACCCAGCATCCCATCTGAAAAACAAAATTAAACATTTATCAATTATCATTTAAGGTTTTATATTATATTCAATATTATTTTGCAGTTCTTTGCAAAAAACATTATATGAAATAAAAAATTATTTTATAAAATTGAAGGATTTTGCATATTTTTCTAAAAATCATTTCAACTTCTATTAGCTGAGACCTGATAAAAGATTTTATTTTCTTCCAGCAATTAATGATTAACGACACATGGGTTGTGCTATTCGTACTTACTGGGACTGTGTGAACATAATTTTAGTTTTAAAAATCATGTAGTTGTTCCTCAGCTCGTCAAAACATCTTTTGAAAATATTGCAAAATTCATCATATCTTATTATGATGTCACTAACATTTCGTTTCTAATCTTATCTATGAGACATTTTTCATTTGAACAAAGCACCGAACCATATAAGAATAAAAATTCAGGGCATATGGATTGACCCGGATATAGTAATAAAGTTCTTACATTAAGCTCCGATACGCTCTATAGCCATTGAAAAATAGAAAATCGATGCCTCTTGTTTATCAGACCGAAAATGTGTATTTAAAAAGATGTAAGACGGGACTTCCCCTTTTAAATTTGGTTATTGAGCAATACTGAATAAACCCCAGTGGAAAATTACATGCAGAAAAAAATAAATAAACTCTTAGTAAATAAAAGTCTGACGCACTGCAAAAAAATTAAAATAATCAAAAATAAACCAATAATGAAATTCATAGTGTATCTACAGAGTGAACAGTGATGAATACTGGACATACATAAAAGTAAGTTCTGTGAGTATTCCTTATAGGACATTTGTTTTCGTTAATTGGTTTGTTTTGCCGTTTGTTTGGGGGTTTTTTTCGGGGGGGGGGGTTAAATTATTAGAAATTTAACTATCGAGCATCATTCGTTTAAGGTATGAATTTAAACTAATAACTGATTAATCGTTGCATTGATTGTATCATTCTTAACATATATTAGAATTATTCAGAAAAGTAAAAAAATATAAATTCTTAAAAACGTACTCCCCTTCTAATAAAGAAAGTCTCAGTGTTTATCAGTATGATATAATTCTTATAATGTATATGAATAAACAATTAACAAAGATTTCCGCCATGTTAATTATCTTCATCGTGAGTATCCAACAGGAAGAACCCGATACTCGTGATAGTAAGATTATTTACTCAAATTCACTAGATCTTATTTTGGCTTTCTATTTAGAATATACAGTATGTGATACGTAAGGTAAATGATATTTAGGCTAGGTTTGTTTTCTTTCAAGGGTTATAATTAACGTGGAACTTCCTTTTGACTTTCTGATATATTTTTCTATTTGTCAATAAAATGTTTATTCATACACAGAAAATATGTCAGAAATACACTTTTTGGTCAGCTTTTCAGTATTTCATTACGTAAATATGTTTTTGTTTTCCTCTTTTCTGCCTTATCAATGCATCACATAATAAGATAATATGTCAGTAAATTTTTACTGATATTTTGTATTGTTTGTTACAGAGTTTCGCAGTTCAGCATGAATATATTTAGAGCCTTTCTACTATTTTGTTGTTCCCTGAATTGTACGCGGGCCGAAATCAATGGAAACGTACTAGCAGACGAGTTAACGCGAGTTATAGAGGACGTGGGTTACACTCAGATGCAGGTATTTCATCTACTTTATTTATAAAAAACAAACAGAACCAAAAATTTAATTTAACTAACCATCTCAAAAGTATTGTTAGAATTTACATGTAACAGTAGTGGAATTGCAGTTACTCATGTTTCAGCTCATGGACTTTTAATTTCACCTTGGGGTTTCAAGGGTATGCAATGAATGAACTTTATTAGTCACTTTGAAATGAATTTGCTTATCATGAGTTTTTATTTTATAAAAAGGATGTAAAGTATGGTCATGTGTGATTTTTATACCGAAAATAGTATGATTTCACACAACATGAAAATTTAAACTGATTATATTTGGGAAAATAATGAAATCGGCTGAATTTCGATGGTCATACTATATATTACTTTGCCCAGAAATTCCAACCTTGACTTTATTCTTTGCTTCAAAGGTCAATAAATGTGAAACATAGTGGGATTTGCATAAAAACTACAAATTTTCTACAAATTTTTCTACAAATCTTATTTTGAAATAAAACAGTATGAGGACAGTATACCAACACAAAATCTATACTTTTTTTTCAGAAGCATTTAAATCGCCTACAGTATACAGAATCTATGGTAGACTATCCATCTGTCACAAGAAAGGTTTGTTGTTATTTTCAGACACCAAGGCGCCCCTTACAAATCATTATTCTTTACCATTGAATGACAAATAAATAGAATTTATAAGAAATTTGATAATTATCCTAAAGACCTTACTGACCTTTCCTAATTAAGACATAACTAATAATTAATGTTTGGCGTGCTTGTCATGGCCATTTATTCACATTTATTAACAAAACAACAAAATATGCGCCGATCTTCAAATCGATATGGCAGCATATACACAAACAACTCAAAGCAGAAGAAATACCACCTTGACCCACGGAACCTGGAGAAAACAGTGCCCCATGGAGGTGGCATTCTATGCAAAATTCTGCCAAATGAACCACAAAACAAACTTTTGTGGGACATCCGCCAACAAATCTAGGCGGTCATGATCAATTTTGCATACATCCATACAATATCAATTTTACATTCAACAGTTAGTCATAAACAATTCATTTGCAAATATTCAACTTCACAACTATTCAAGGTTTGACCATGACAAGGCTTGACTAGTAGTAGTATTAGGATAAAATCTGTCAGTAGTTGACAAAAACAGCCCAAGAGCATTTCTTAAAGAATTTACAAATATGTCATTACCCAAGTCTGACAAGTGTATACCATCTTTGCGGAAAAGGGATACATGTCTAATTAAAATATCAGGATATTTAATGGAGGCCCCACATGCTTTCTTAACAACAAATGTAGCGAGGGCAGAATTAATTCTTCTCCAATTTTCTCCATCTTTGTTAGAAAGACACAAGGTCCAATTACTTCGTGGTAAGATATGAGACCAAACAATAACTGTCTTTGGCATTAATTGTGAAATATTTACGATGGTAGATTTCATGTACATTTGTAAGCCCTTTAAAGTACTATGTGGATTGCCAATATCATTGCCACCACAATGTATTACGAGGATTGTTGGGGGGTTGTTATTTTTTAACTTCTTTTGGATTGTTGGATAAAGCTGAGACCACACCATACCCCTTATTCCATGCCAAATTATCCTATGCGATTCAAATCCAAGGTTGCTATTCACTCTCTGTTGAGCATATTTCTGAGCCCAATAAATCAACGATGATCCAATGATCCATATGTAATCTGAAACAATTTTTTTTTTAACAATTCTTTACCAAACTTTTAAACAATTGGCCTTATGTAAGACTTATAGGCAGCGGAACTCCATCTGCCAATGGTTTTGATTTCGGCTTCACTTATATCATTTAAATAAAAATGTGTGGCCCCACCAATCCTAAAGGAATGAGATTTAAAAACAGAGGTGTTTATATTTATAAATGATAAACATTTATTGAGCATTGTTGAAAACTGATAATGAGTCAAAGGTTTCGAGTTGAAATGAACAAAGAATTTAGTTGATAAAATTGTCTGCCGCATTACTAGAAATTTTTGCAGTAATGTAAACAAAATCAATGACTGGGCATGCTTTGGGACTTTTACTGATGAACCCCTGTGCATTTGATCAGTTTTGGAACATTTAATCATGAGACTAACATAGTCTTCTAACAATTGAACACTATCATATTGAAGGTCAACCACTTCACTGACTCTAAGCAATGCAAAAATGCTACTGAATAGGCACATTGAAATAATGTCGCCTCATATAAAGAATGTGCCATATATGGCAAGGTATCTATGATACGAAATAATAGTTGCAAGGTTATAGGCCTTCTAATATCACTAGACACTGTCAACCTTTTGTAACCAGTTAGCAATTTTTTAATTAAAAATGACTCCACAGCATTTGGCCAGCCATGAACGTTTATAAGAAAGCTTAAACCTGACAGATAACACTTGACAGTCGAAAAGGCACATTTCCTCTCTGACATGTATGCAACAAAATTGATGACATGGTCAATAGGAGGAGGCCATAATTGTGGAAAAGAATTATCTACCCTAAATTTAATAAAGGCTTGAATGCCTTGCTTATAAACTTTGTTTGTATTGCCCGAAATACTAGCGTCTACAAGGTTCTCTACAATTGATGAATAATTTGCCAAAATTGCATAGGAACTGGACAGGGATAATGCCGAGCCCCAGGACCCAGCTGATGAAACCTCGAAAATTGAAAACGAGATATAGCATCTGCTTTATCATTCTTAATACCTTGAATATGTTGACATTTGATCTGAATGTTATTCTGCAGGGTGTTGAGGACCAAAGCTCTTAACAGAACCATAACTCTCTTATTTTTTGATGTTTTGTTGTTAATTATGTGAACAAGTGCTAAATTATCTACATGCAATAACAATTTGTTGGAAGCTAGTTTGTCTACCCAAATAATAATACCCAACACTATTGGAACAAGTTCTAACAAAGTAATGGCTCTCCTTATCTCCTGGGACCAACTTTCCGGCCAAGCTAACACACTCCATTCATCACCAAAAACAACACCACACCCAAACGATCCAGAACTGTCTGTATAAAATTGCAGCGAATCACTATCTGACCAATCTACAGATGGAAACCGAGTTAGTCCATTAAAATTTTGTAGAAATTCAACCCACATCTGAAGGTCCAACTTAATTTCATTAGATATTCTAATCAAATGAAAAGATCTATCAACATCTTGTAGTGCCCCGTAAATTCTCCTTAAAAATGCCCTACCAGCCGGTAGTGCTTTTACAACAAATGCAAGTGATCCAACAAGCGATTCTAATTCTTTCTTTGTTACTTCTTTACTACACTGAACATACTTAATCTTTTCAAGCAATTCATCAACTTTTTCTTTTGGAACGAAAATTGTCTCTTGCATGGAATCAATTCCTAACCCTAAAAATGTCATTTTTGTACAAGGACCTTGCGTTTTTTCTGGTGCAATAGGAACTCCTAAAAATTGACTCAATTCTTGAAAATGATGCATTAATTCTGTGCATTCACTAGAGTTAGCTGATCCAACAAATAAAAAAATCATCTAAGTAATGAACAATACCGTCTTTTTGTGACCTCTGTTCTAATTCCCAATGTAAAAAAGATGAAAATTTTTCAAACAGTGAACTAGATACTGAACACCCCATTGGCAAACACTTGTCAATATAGTATGAATTGTTAAACTTGAAACCTAGCAGACAAAATTCCCGAGGATTTATTGGTAAAAGCCTAAATGCACTGGAAATGTCCATCTTTGCCATAAGGGCCCCTTTTGTTAATTGCATCATCAAATGAAGCATAGCTGGCAGTACATGCTTGCTGGTCTATGTAATCATTAACACTATCACCATAAGGATGCGACAGGTTGGTAATCATGCGCCATCCACCATGTTTTTTAGGTAATAAACTTACTGGGTTACATCTTAAATTTGATATTGGGGGGGGGGGGGGTTGAAAAAGGACCTAAAACCCTACCCAATCCAAGTTACTTTTTAACCTTTTCTTCTAAATCATTAAAATGTTGAACTGCAGACTTCATGTTCCTATATTCAACCCTTCATATGGCAACTTCTCTGTCAGGATAATTTATTAATAATTTGTGAAGATTGTTAGTTTTAATTGGAGTATGGCCCAACTCCCATAATTTATTGTGTAGGTCGTATTGCTCGCTGTGGGAATCTCGGGCGGAACTGCTGTTGTGCGGGCCTAAACTGGGGGAATTGTTTGACATTGTTATTCTGGGAAGATCTGCAATTTAAAGAAGGATGCGATCCATTACATTTCACACAAATGTGCAAAAATCTACAATTGTGTTTTTCACATGTACCCTGAAAGTTGTAAGAGTAACATTTAAATTGTTTTGGGGGATTCTGATTATAGTTTTGTATGGTAGGCTGCATATAAAACAACCACAATTCAGCATCAACAGAACCCCAACTTAGATTAGAATCAATTGATTTTTTCAGCCTAAACTGGATGTCATAATCCCTCCAACCATAAGAGTTGGGTGACCGCTCTGCACCTTTTCTAATTGTTGCTATGTAACGAAATAAATTCATAGCTTGTGCAGAGTGCTTGGCACAGTAAATGGAGGCAAAAATTAAAAAAAGCATCAGTCCATTCTGAAATGGACACAATTTTCTCATCTTTGTACTTAGGTTTAACTTGAATTAATCCATCATGATAAACAATGTGATGCTGAACATCTGAAACTGGTTCTTTGATTAGCAATTTGTTCAGAGCAACAAACTCATTATTCCAGATTTTTTCTTTCAATGCCTGAGAGACATGAGCACCAAGCATTGATACTACACTCTGAAAAGGTGTAGGCCTATCGATATCAAGTTGACAATTTATACCTGCTGTAGTGCCAGCTGTTGGTATATGCAACTGTGGCTCCACTGTCGGCTGGGTGGGTAAAGTCTGTACAACAGGAGTCTGGGTGTCTGCAGTCCCATAAACAGGCTGCAAGGGTACTGATTGGGCTAACGATCCATGGCTGACCACGTAACTTCTTGGTGGCACTGAAATAGCAGCCTCTGAATGGAGACCGGTGACTGTCGGAATGATGGGTTCAGTGGATGATACTGGGGATGCCTGAGTGGTCACCGTGGTGGCTACTATACTACGCTCAACAGAAGTCCTTGGTGGTGGCCGGGCATATGGGCTCTTTGCCTTCGATGCTCTTGCTTTATTGGCTCTCAACATGGTTTAACTTTCTCTTCGTGTTGCTTTGGATCTACTAAGAAGTTTTCTTTGAGTTAAATTTCTGGCACCTAGCAGCTTTCTTGTTCAGCAGGAAAAGGAAGTTACCCTTGAGCATGCCCAGTTGCATAATTGTGAAAAGTACGAGTTATCGTTCTTACTATAGTGAGTAATTATGTGCTCAAAATAACCTAGTTTATCCAGAGAAGATAAACTTTATTATTTCCTTTCATCACAGAACATATTTATGTTTTGAAAAAGTTATGAACTATACAGAGATCGAAAAGGAATGTGACAATTGCTTTGCAACACTAGATTCTAAAATTAAGCTGTAAATATTATTGATTATTTGTTGCTTTTTTGATCAGGAATAAAGTCTATAAAAGAGGTTTTTTAAAGACTTGCAATAATTGTCAAGTTGATGCATACATTTATTTAAGTATCCGTATTGCAAATTATACCTAAATTGTATTTTTTAAAGGGAATGTTTGTTTAGTCGAAATATTCATATATGAAATAATTATGTTGATAAAGTATCAAATTGTTTGAATTCGAAATAATTGTCAGGTCATGAAATATTTCTATTACTCACTTAATCCTATTTTAGACTGCTGATTCAATACAGTACAAATTTCAAGAAATGGAACAAGCTCTTGGTAACTTAAAGACCACAATTGAAGAGGAGTATAAATTATTTTCGTCACAAATGACGTCACGGGATTGTTGTGACCAAGCTGAGTACTCATACGACAGTCGATTCCGTTCAAAAGTAATACAACATGTGTATTTAAAGTACAGATACACAGCAATGTTAATTATATTTTTTTCATGGTTTTAAAACTTAAATTAGTTAATATATTAAAACATTCATGTTTTTTTAAAGGTTGATTTTGAAAATATTTGTGTGACTACATCCTTGTTGTCATCACGTCAGAAGAAATATCCAACAGATAAAGTTCTTCAAGCAATGAAAACAAACCATAGAAACAACCCCAGCCTTCTGTGGCAGTATGTTGGATTAGAAAGCGGTGTTCTTATTAATTATCCGGCTACAAAATTGTCAGACTGTAATGCATACGATCCGAGATACAGGTTAGGCTTTATATCACGAAACCCACAATTCCGGTCTTCAAATATGAATCTTATTACGCATATAAACAAACACGATTTCGCCGTGTTAATTACAATTCTTGAAAAGTTACTGGTAGGGCCTATAACGATATTTGAAATAACTTTTTTGACCTATGGATCTTAAGATTAGTCTCCTTTCTTGAGTGTTCAGTTTGACTTGTTAACATACATTAAACAGACAAAAAACTAATTTCTTACCGAATCTACAGATCTCAGAACTAGGGTATCTCAGTATCCTTATAAGTGATCTATTTATAATTTTTACAAACAGACCTTTTTATAAAACTGGAGCATCCCCTGTTCCGAAGGATGTAGTGGTACTTGTTGATGCATCCAAATCCATGACTGGTAATTACCTGCAGAAGGCAAAGGACGCTGCCAATACTGTATTAGAAACGCTGAATAGCAACGACAGGGTAATATGCCTCTCTGCAAAAAAGCAAGGTTTAACACATTAACTTGGAAATTAAACATTTGATATCAAAGAAATCATAACTTTCTTCTGAATATATACAGTATTTTGTTATTTTAAATTTGAACACAGGGTCTTTAGTGGATATCAAGTTTTACTTAGGAAAAATATACAAAACTTTATTATTGTTTTGTTGTCTTTTTAAGGTAGGCATCGTGATGTTTAACGACTATGCTTATGTTCCAACATCCAGCGACCAATCTTGCTATGGAAACCGACTAGCAGCCGTCACCCGCAAAACCAAATCAGTTTTAAAATCTTTCATAAACACCAAAACTGCTGAAAGGAATACAAATTATGCCAATGCGTTTACTAAAGCCTTTGATTATTTCAAAAACTCTTCTCCAAGCTCGGATAGAGGTACACTATCAGACAATGGAGACACATAAACAGTAAATCTAATTCATAATTAATTTTTTCCCCTTTTTCTACAAATAATTTGAATTCTGATTTTTGTTTTCCTCAGATCAAATCATCTTGTTTTTAACTGATGGTCAAAACGCTGGTCCAGAAGATTCTTTAAAAGTGATACATGACAGAAATAGCCAACTAGGGAATAGAGTTGTTATACACACCTTTGGAATAGGTATGGGACATTTACTGTGTAGAAATTTCTATTTTTTCGTTTTTATAAGCTTTATTTCACTTTACATATTTTGTTTTTGAACACAAGAAATAATTCAATTGTGATTTTAACCTCCAGTACTCAAAATTTATAAATTACCGTAATAAAGACAATTTCAGCAAGCAATGGCAAAAAATTTGTTGGCTTGTTTACTGTCTTCTGCAGCAGCAGGTTGTGTTTTGTAAGATTAATTATTGCATGGTACTTGTTTACAATATGAGAGACGGAAGGTATAATAATAAAACGAATAGTGATTCAAGTATGAAAATAGTTTGACATAACGGTACACGTGTAGTATAACAAGACAGAATGGATTTTAATTATATTTTTAGGAGATGTATCTACGTCCGCTGAATCATTACTGAGGAAAATCTCTGAACAAATCGGAAGTAACAGTACTTACGGAGAAATCAAGGTATGTCATTCTTTGTTAATATGTTTGAAGAGAAAATGCTTCTTTTCTTACACTATGTTTTTCACACATTCTGGTATGGTTATAACGTTGCTTGCGATCGATTAAGCTGTATTGTGTGCTGTGTGTGTGTGTCCCCAATATATGAACTGATCGTTTGTTTTATTTTCTGAAAAGTTACTTTTAATATTCTTATATCATTGAAAAAATGTTGCTTTAGGTGATGCTGATATTTTATTTGTCTACGCTAAGCATCTACTTGTTTTAAAAATCAAGAAACATGAGAGTATTAATATATTTTAATGGAAAGTATAGTCAAATAAAAATATACCTTCAAATATTAGGCAAGAAGAAATTAATGATTGTTTTTTGCTTGTTGATGTTAATGCAATGTCCACTTATTGTAGGATTAATAACTCAGTACAACAACTTGATATCTTGTATTTCATGCTATTTCAATATTCTTTGAAGATTGGCCGGTATCAGCCAGTCCCTGATGTGACTTACCTACCCGAAGCTTTGGGCTCCTTCTACACATATACTAATAATCCAGTAGCTGTCAAACCTCTGTTTACCTTGCCTTATACAGATTATTTCTCCAATAATGGTAAATCTTTTAAATAATAATAAAATAAGTTGGAATAGCAAATACCTTTTAAAAGTAATTAACTTTATTTTCATCAGCAATGAGTTTTCTAGTAAATGTTGAATGGTGACAAACCAATGTATTCTTTTACAGGTCTGATCATATCAGCATGTCTAACCCTGATGTTCGGCAGTGAGTTTATTGGTGTGGTATGTACAGACATCAAACTGAGTGAACTTGTCACCGACACCTCGTACCTACAGGAGGGGGAAATGACTTACTCCTTTATAATGGACGGATTTGAGCGCACTCTTGTGCATCCTTTACTTCCTGACCCCCGAGACAACAGCGCGGAGGAGTACGAAGTCAACAATATTTACAACTTTGAAACAGCCAGCGATGTTAGAACAGTCATTGAGTCAATGAAACTGTAAATAGCTGGTTTGATAAGATAATTTATTTAAGGAATAATTTAATTTATACTTGGTAATCGAAGGACACAAATACCAATATAATACAGCATAATATGGGTGTATGAAAATGCTTCAGTGGCATATTTCTAACCTTGATGCAGGCAACTGATAATTTTTGTTTGTTTGTTTGTTTATTGATTTTTTCACTCATATGGAGACGCCACCACTTGCCGGTGGAGAGCTGCAAATTTTGACCTATACTCGGCACTGAGGGCCATTGAGCAGTGAGGGATCTTTTTCGTGTCAGCAACTACTGCGACACGGGACCTCGGTTTATACGGTCTCATCCGAAGGACCGGTCTCCACGTCCCACAGTGGGATTCAAACCCGCGACGTTAGAATCATCTCCTTACTCCGCGACTCTAGAGCGAACGCTCTAACCACTGCGCCACGCGGGCGACCAACTGATAATTGATAATTTACTAAGGATCCTTTTGATGCCTAAAATAAACATGCAAATTGCAACATATAAACAGATTGTATCAATAGAATGTGAGGAAACATTTCAGAACCTTTTGATGTTACATTATACGCATTGTTTAAAAATGTATCCCATTTAACAAGAGGTTTGTGACAAAATTGATCACCATTTAGATTGTTCTAGAAATTGATCGTTGTAACATTTTTACTAATAGAAATGATTACTAATTGAGTGCACTTATGTTTTCTTCCTAAGAACCACGCTTATATTAAATTAAAACAATCTTGAATAACTACAAAATTACAGACAACTGACCGAAATCTGTAATATATAGAGAACAAGAAAACATTGATGTAACCATCAATTGTCGCCCGGGAAATAAATAAAGTAGACAATGGAAATGAGTCTTGATCATCAAACCGCTTCGATATGTGTGAAAAAGGCATGCGTCTAAATGATGGAGACGATAGTCGAGAATATTTTGAAAACTTATAGTCGGATGAAAATCGAACAAAAACGATACCCTTTTAAACTTTATCAATTCCTCGAGTAAATGTTGGCTGCATAAAATATAATTTGAAACCAGACACATGCATCACCTATTTTCAAAAATGTCTTTCACTTTAAGAATACAAAACACGAACTGTGTATAAAGTACATTTTTACGTTATTATGCGATAAGTAAAATTCGATGTTCTTAAAAAAAGGGACCTGTCGTTTTTTTGATAGTAAATGATAAGCAACTTTATATATTAAATATGAAAAACATATATATTTTTACAGATTCACTTTATGGAAGTAAATATATTGCGTATCTCGTAATTTATAAAGGGAAAGAACATTCTGATTATCAATCTTTTTAATGTTTAGAAAACCTTTAATTCTGAATAACTTCTCCCTCCTCAATCCCCATATACCAACACTTAGACTTATATGTATAGAGCAGCCCGGTCCTCCGGGCTGCAATAATACATGGCAAAATCTGTATCACACCCCATATCAACCCGAGACTCCAATATCAGCCCGAGGGGCGAAGGCCAAATGGCTGATATTGGTCGAGGGTTGATATTGGGTGTGATACAGATTTTGTCATGTATTGTTGTTTTTATTATATATTTGAAAATAGTGTAAAAAAAATCATATATAAACCTGTAAATTAATTAATTCTTAATAATTGAATATGTTCTTTCTTTTCGTTGAATTTCCCTTCTCATTATTTTTTCCAAAGGCAATGCATACAGCGATAAGAAATGAAATAATTATAAATTAAACAAATAATTATTTTGAATAGCATAAAATATCTGATGAAAATTTACAATTCAAATAAACTGTATAAACAACTAATAGAAAAAGATCCGAGGTACTCCGAATGAAAAATACAGAGATGTTCCGGAAAGGTGTAATAAAGGGTGTGATAAAGGGTAAAATAATGGTTGCTGATACAGGGTGTGTAATACAGGGCGCGTGCCTGTGTTCATATCAGGGATGCAAAAATCCTGTATTATTGAACAAATTTATAATAAAAACTTTTTCCTACGTCCTATCTGGATAATGATTGTCAAACAAAGCAATAACGAATTATCACAGAAGAATTGTAATTAAATCAATGATGCTAATCTAACTACAAACTTATCCCTGAAGCAGCAGACTGAGTAGTGTAACAAACAATTCTGTTGTTTCCCGACACAGTCTGCAACTACCTAAACACCTATCTTAAAGTGACTCCTTGAAGTCGCAGAGACAAGCTAAAGTCACCAAAACACAATAGCTAGTCATCAAGACACTATTACTTTTGGTTACAGACACAAGCTTAAGTCACCGAAACACTATTACTAGTCACAAAGACACTAGGGAACTAGGTCTCTGAGCTGAGTGGTCTAACAAACAATTCTGTTGGTTCCCGACACAGCCTAAGAATCTAACTCCGACAATGAGTTACACCAAAAGTAAACGAAACCTAGATGGATCCCTTTATTATTACTATTTTGCTTCTGCTCCATTAGTACTGATTGGTTTATAATTCTAAACATTTGGTTGGCTGAAATGTCAATACTGATTGGCTACATATAAAAAAGGTTCGATTTGATGATTTGAGATCTATTTCAATCCCCAATGCTAATTCTATTTAATTACAGAGTCTTTACTTTAGATTCCTAATATACGCGAGGAATTATTTATCGCATAATTTTGCGAGAAGCACCACTCGCGAAATAAAATTACTTTATTTTTATGGTGCTTAAATCAATATAAAATCTCTTGATTAACCGTCCACTCGTGAATAATTGTTCTCGCGATTTGACGTTTAAGAGCCAATTTGCGATAATAAGCACTTGCGAAAAATAAGGAATCTACAGTATTCTTTGGAAAAATATATATGCATATGCACGTGATTATTTACAGTAAACACGGTTTTTGATTTTTTTTTTTTTATTTTTAGTGGCAATGCAGGAAGTAAAGAGATTAACACAACTTTTACACAAGTCCGAGGGAATCTTCTTATGGAAGGCGACAAACGAACAATTATCCACGCTGTGTACCAGTGGGAACCTGTAAGTTTATCGGAATCAAATAGACCAATTCACCTTATAGACATTTCTCTTTTTAAATCTTGATATTTTTTTAAAAAATATTTATGTATCTGCTAAGATTTTTACTACTTGAGGTTAAGGTACATGTATATATATGGGAAAGAACGCATTAGATTCTAAAATTTCAAAGATTACTTTATGATATCCCAGCGTTGTCTTGGAAAAGTAATTGTTAAAATTCTGGTTATAAGGTAAAATGCAATCATGTTATAGTAGAAGACTCACCTTGTCGTTTCATGTCGGAAAGGATTTTTTTCTTGAAACCAGTTTTTGTTATATAATCAGTACCATCAAAACGTACGATATTTCAACACTTTATACAACCATTCCCCACGATAGATCAGTACCATCAAAACGTACCATATTTCAACACTTTATACAACCATTCCCCACGATAGATTAGTACCATCAAAACGTACCATATTTCAACACTTTATACAACCATTCCCCACGATAGATTAAAGACCAGCCTTCTTACATCATATACAACTGCTTCTTTAAAAAATTGGAACTCGTTTATATGCATACCTTTTCAATGGTTATCTCCACACTTATTTTTTTTAAACATTCTGATTCTACAAGTACTAGGATGTTGTATAAAAAAGATGCTTGAGTTTCTCATTCACAATATCTATGTAGTTTTTTGGAGACCAGGTCCTCCAACAATCTGTTCGAATCCCCAAAGGTACTAATTGTCGAACTTTATTATCAGACCTGTTTTTTGTATTCATGTGAAACTAAATTTAGTCTTAAACTTCTACATGAAAAAAGAAGTCTCTTGATGTGATCTTCGATTCGACACTTAAATATATTGACGATGTTTTATCAATGAATACTTTTCAGTTTCAATCCTATGTTGATTCAATATATCCCACTGAACACGAAAAAAGACACCTCGGAGTCTCTATGTTATATTTGGGTGTTTTACTAGAGAAAGATATTGATGGTAATCTGACAGCTAAATATTATGATAAATGTGATCACTTCACTTTTTCTAATAGTCAACTTCCCTTATTTATGTAACAATATACTTCACTATCTGCATATGGAGTTTGTCTCCCAATTAATTTTATATGGAAGAGCGTGTTCTAGATACGAACACTCTCTAAAACGAGGCGGGCTATTGACAAATAAGTCGATGACAAAAGGATATCTACAATCTCATGTATATCAACATTTCGCAAATTCTATGGTCGATACAATGACCCTGTTTACAAATACAGTTTGATGATATGTCAAATGTTGACTAACGTCTTACATACAAATTGTTAGGCCATTATTTTCACAATTTATTGTGTACAGATTTTTTCGTTTATCGGATCATGACAAGGTGCACACGGCGGATGTGACTTGATGACAGGGAATATTTACTCCTCCACGGCACCCGCAGTTCCCACCTCTGTTTTCAGAGGTCCGTGTTGGCTCTGCTTATAATTTATATAGTTTAAATAGACTTTACAGAATGATCACTGTTTGTCATCTTCAAATTTCATTTTTTGCAGATAATGGGGAGTAATTTCTCACTTTGCATTGTGTTTCCAAATCAATCTCTAAAGAGGAATTTGAATGATTTACCAGCAAGCAGTACGGCTTTTATGTACCATAGATGGGATCTAACAAATTGGCCATCACCAGTTTGTCGTCAGTTTGCTCGCTATGCTACAACAGGTGGGATAATAAATAAACTGTACTTTGAAAAATATATATATAACAAATTTTACTCTTTGAGAAAAGCGTCTGGCAGCGCGTGTAAGCTCAGATATTAAGCATTAAAATTTCGTATTGTTGTCATTTATTGACACCAGTATAACTATTTGACTGTCTGGTTTAGTAAAAATAACTTTAAGGAAACATTGCTTTCATCAGCAACATCCTAATTAATATTTTAATTAAATGTAACGCACAATTTACTGGGAATTCTTATACTTGAGCCTCAATTTAAATATTAATCGTAATATCCTAAATGAGTACGTGTATTTCATAAACACGATTTCCTATCATTGTTTCATTTTTTCTTTGCCATTCTTTACTTCCAAATAAAAGAATTATGCTATAATTAGGGATGTCAAAATATTTATTTTCCTTAGTCGAATATTCGATTGCATTATTCGAACGATAGTCGAATATATTCGGAACATTTTCCGAAAATAAAATTGTATTTCAAACTTCACTGGTACATGACGTATTTAGAATTCAGAAAGCTCTTTTACTTAAATTTATTTAAAAAGTAACATCAAAGGATGATTCTCTATAAGGCCATTTTCCGGCCTACGATAAAATCACTTAAAAATGTGATTTTATGTAACTTTAATCATTATATTTCATGATTTTGATGTTTGTTTTTCAACATCAATCACCTAAGTCGCGTGATTTAAAGATCACAAACGGCCGTCAAGTAAAGAAAAATTGAGGGTAGGTCTATTTACATCAAGTTTTATGCATGTTTCTAGATGTAAATGATCAAAAATTGTTTATTTATGTCGGAAACATATCAGACTTAAGTAATAAAAGCAAAGATTGTTTAATTTAAGGCTGAAGATATTTTTTATGGCAAGAATTTTGATGCATTCACATTTTGCATATTTTGAATGTAAATCTTTACAAAATGCACCTCGTACGATGTTGAAAAATGTTTAATTAGCATTTAATTAAAAGTATTATTTTATATATGTTTATATTGTACTTGTGTATTGTTTCTATAGATGTGGTACCTATTTTACGCATAAAATGCCCATGCAAGAAATGAGATTTCTAAGTTTCTTTTGAACTATAAAAGTTGTGTATCAAATGTTTAAAGCAATGAATGAATTTTGTTTGTGATTAAATCAAAATTAAGTTGTAATTTATAAAATATAGTCTACATTTGCAAAAAAAATTAAGAATTCATTAATTTACAGGATGAAAATATTAATGCAAGTACATGTTAATAGTCAGTACATAAAACTCAGAACGGTTGTATTAAAAATATATATATCGACGTAAAATGAAATAACATCGTAAGAGTTGATTTGATTCAATTTAATTACGCATTTAAAACAATATGTTTAATTTAAAATGCTATCTTAACTATAATACACAAATGTATGTATAAAAGTCGAGCCCCCCCCCCCCCCCCGACGGCACTCCATAAAATGGAGTAGATTTTCAACAATTCCTTTTTAGTATATCCATGGACTAACAGAGTTCTACAACATCCCAGGTACAAAATGGACCGTAAGAGATGACACTCCTTTCGCACTCTTGAAACCTGAGAATTAAATTCTCTTTCCGTGCTGCGTCAAGAACTAAGGTGTTTAACACGGGTAGTGACAGTTCCTTTGCTAAGTCCTCAGCATTGAAAGTAAAAGTCATGGGTCTCTTGGATATTATCTTAAAGAAGGAGGTCCTGTCCCATGGTAGGTGTTGGTCAATACTGAAACCATGCATAAATCAAAATTGTGACGTTTCACCTTAAGTGGATGATCTCTTTATCTGGGTGAAAAATTCTAAAATGACGTAAAGCAACATTCAATTATCAATCACGTGACATTTAGGAACCCCTTTCCTCCTTGGCGTTTTATTTTCTAAGACAGAACTACTGTTCTCATAACTTATATTGATGCAACCAAAGAAGTGTGATGAATAGATTGAGTCCTCTTAACACCCAGTTAACAAAATACATGGATCCTATGTCACTCATACGGAAAAGTGTCCTTCTAAAAGCTCGAGGCGAGAATTTCCATCATGAAACCATCCCATCAGTAATTCTCTATCTATAAAAGTTACATGTGTACCCATAGAAAAATTAAGTTTATAACACAAATAGCAAATGCATCTTCCCGCTACAACAAAAATAGCTTTTATCATTTCCATAACTAATAACAAATATGCAGTACTCCTAAGGAAATACAAATACAAAGAAGTAGCATAGATAAACTAAACTATTCTTATAAAAAATATAATTATAATAAGTAACTTATATTCATGTCTTATAGTCTATAAAAAAATTTCTTTCTTTCTAGCAGATAGTTCAATGAGACTTGTATTCACGTAATTTCATAACAACCAGTCATTTCAGTCCTTTGATTTTAGATTTTTTAAGTAAAAAGTTTACCTTTTTTGAGTAAACATGCATGGCTTATATTAATTCTTAGTAAATCAATAGAAACATGTACTCTAAGTGGAAGTTTATAATAAGAAATAATCTACATAAGCTGATATCCTTCATTGTAAGTAGTTAGCTTTTCCTGCAAATATCGTAAAAATGAAACGAAAAGTTTTTATTTACATGTCATAACCACCTTTAACCAAGTTGATAATTTGGTAGTCACTTTTTATGTTCATAAGAAGTTTACATGCAAATTTTGGTGTTGGTTAAAGGTGGTTATGACATGTGTAGGAGTTACCTAACACACCAACCCTCTTGAGTTTTCCCATTACCCTAATGCTAATACGGACCGATAGTACCTTACTTTGTGACCCTATATCATAACAAATACTTTTGTATCATTAACCAATCAACATTTATCATTAAATTGGAACATTAGCCTACTGACTCATGCAGTTTTTAAGGGAAAAAATACTATTTGAAAATTTGCAGTCATTGTAGGCCGCAAAACGGCCTTATAGAGAATGATCCTTTATGCAACGTAACGCGTAGATAGCATTTCCTAATTCTCCAAAATGTATGATTTCCCCGTCAACAGAATTCATAAATCAATCTGTGCATGCACTTAGTTTTTATTTTAGCAAGCAAAGAAAAAAAATGCCAGGAGATTTTTTTTAAAGCTTATTATGAAATAAACTGGGGGAGGGGGGGTTAATCTCACACTATCCACACGTCAAGTGCCTGTGAAATTGTTAAACAGTTAGATACTGCTTATTCGATTATTGTTTGCTCTGGCTATCAAAATGTCCTTATACAGTTTAAAATGTAAGCGAATTGTTTTAATAATTATCGGAGTATCAAAACATGTCAAAGTTATGGTTTCTTCCTTGCGTTTGAGCAATCTTAAAATAACAAAAAATAATTGGTACATGGTATAAGATCAAATCCAATTAATAATTTTACAAACAAAGCCTAGTAAATTGGTGAGTGATTTTAAATTACAAACACAACACAGGCAGTTACTGCTAAATAATTCCCGCAGTACTCGGCAGTAGTGAAGCTCTTATAATCACTGTACTTTTTATATGTACATGGAAAATCAACCGTTCTTTGTTGAGGAAAATTATCGACTGTCTCTTGGGAAAGACGGTTTCTCAATTTTGTGATGAGAATTCCATCACGTTATCACTCTTTTATTGTATTTATTTAATTATGATAATATTCGAATGTCGTTTCATTATTCGATCGTCGGTCCATTCGACTGATAGTCGAATAGTCGACTATTCGTTGACATCCCTAGCTATAATATAATTGAGATTGAACTTGTTTTTAGAACATTCAAGTGTTAAACTTACACCAGAAGCATTCGTCGATCCCGGCGAGTATCTGGATACGGAAGAAACTAAAAGTGATGTTAGGAAAATGGAAGACTTAGTCTCCGGGGTGATAACCACAAACCCTGGAATAAAGGTATAAACCAATCTGTTGTTTTTGTTTATTTGTTATTATTGTAAATGATGGCGAATTTCCCAAATGTTAATTTTGGGCCGTTTTGAAATATCATGCTCCTTTTAAGCGCTCGGCAATAAACGGTGTTCTTGCGACAGAGGAAATAGAAAAGATCTGGAAAAACAACCAGAAGGAGGCTACGTTTATCGTCTGGCGATACCTTGCTACACAGGAAGGCGTCATCAGAGTCTACCCTGGAGTGAGACTGCCAGATGCCTATGACTTCAAACTTCGACCGTGGTTGGTGCTTTTAATTACAGACCGTTTAGTCATTTTTCACCTTACAAGTTCAAATTATATGTGTATTAGACAAATTGTTAGAAAAGAACATTTGAGCTATATAGTATAACATTTTACATGCATATGTTTGTCTTTTTGTGCGATAAATAAACTATTTGTTGTGAAATCTCCGTTAGGTATCGACGAACTCTAGCCAATCGAAATATGAACGTTATATCAGCGCCTTACAACGATTACTGGGGTGCAGGAAAAGTGATTTCAATCAGTCGTAATCTTAACACAAAAAGGTATCTTCTCTGACCTGTAAAGTCTTTACTAATCAAAATCTTTAAAATGAAATATATGAATATAGCAGTATAATCAAATTTTACTAAATCATTATTCGCATGATATGAAACTTTAATAGTGGTAAAAAGAATATCCATTACAAAGTATACATAATTAAATCGTGCTTCAGTTCTAGGTCATCCTCACAGAATGAAGTGACAGAGGCTGTTTTAGTGAGCGACTTCTCCATGTTCTATTTCCATCAGATGGTCAAAAAGAAATATCCTCAATGTAATGACAAGAAATATATGTAAGTGAAGAGTCCAATGCAAATAGCAGAATAACAGTAAATACGCAAGCACCATAAATAATAATTCTTTTTTTCTATTTAAGCTGTATGATAATAGACAATAGTGGTTTCCTAGTCATGCATCCGTTTCTAATTGAATCTCAAGAGTTTTACTCCGAAGATCGACAGATCCATATAACAAACATGGTACGTCTTACCGTATTTCATTTGTTTTTCTGAGATTATCTACTCATTAAAGTTCATGATTAGTATTATTCTAAATTTATATTTTTTTAAAGGAAGGTCGTATTGCTCGATCCCTCATGACAAGAAATGTTATGTTCAGACAGCCATGTTTGTCCGTGGAGAATGAGCGAGAACAAATGACGTACAGGGTAGGTATTAGTATATATATATATATATATATATATATATATATATAGATATATATAATATATATATATATATATATATATATATATATATATATATATATATATATATATATATATATAAAATTGAGAACGGTTTCGTTTTGTCACATTATAAAATTTAAGATTAGATAAATTAAGTTAGATGACATATGATGTACATATTACATTGTATACTAGTATAAACATATTTAGTGATGCAACTTTAAGTATTCTTTCAATTTATAGGTCATTCTGACATACTTACACATAAATGGGATCGATGCGATGGCGACAGAGGGATATGAGATCCGTCCAATACGTGACACAAATTTATTTTTTATTCTCAAATCTAAATCGAACGATGAAGCTTACCAGTGTTGTTCTGATGAGGTTTGTACATTTATTCTTTTTTATTAGTAAACCACTGATTGGGGACATGTTAGCATTCAGTTACAGGTCCTCATAGGTAAAATTGCTACCTTATTTTCTTTTACATATTCACTTTATACATTGACAAAGGAGACGGTGTTGCTGATTTTGTAAATATAGTTTCTTGTTTAAATTGATTGTGTAATGGAATATTATGAAATTCTTTGCTTTGAATAATACAATGATCAAGATTTGTTTTATGTTATTCATATCGGCAATAAATTTTGAGAAAATCACAGCGACCTTGAAATAGACTTGAGAAAAATTCGAGGGCTTTTACGTTTTATTTCTAAATTTCAAAAACATATAATTATTTTTTTTTTTTTGTCAATAAATAGTAAGTTTGCAGATTCATTTGAGAAAATAAAATGTTTCAGAAAGGACAGTACATATGCATTAATCATGAAGCCAAAAAGATGTATTTCTAAAATTCAATGTTCTTGTCTGTAGAAGTCGAAAAAGTCGCCAAATGTCGTGCAATGCACTTCCGAAGTTTGTGATTGTCTATGTTACAAGCAAGTAAACTTCAACGATTGTGAAAATGCATATACCATTATGTAAGTACTGCGTAATGTGTTTTCTGTCTTATGATTCAGTGAGCTCATTCAAAAGCAAGTAGTACCCTTAATTCCACTGAATTGCACGCACATATTTTTTTCAAATTATACAGTTTATAGAATGTTCATATTTTGCTTTGTTTTGTTTTTCTTCTCCACAGAGATAATCACTTACCATGCAGCGCCAAACTCCCGGAACTGACGTCAGTTGATTTTAATGAAGACAGGATGACAAAGAATTTACCTTTGTGCTTTCCATATGACTGCAATTGTCGAAAAAATGAACTGTAAGTAGGATACAATTTAGATAAGATAAGATAATATAATATTTTTAAAGTCGGATAAGACAACAAGAAACATTAACTCTGAAGAGCTATTTTTCGACTAACGTAATGAATTTTGAGTGCAGGTAATTTTTTATTCAATTTCCTTTCAATTCCAGAGACTGTTATAATGTGTCTGGTTGCTCCTGGTGCACAGAGACTATGACTGGAGATATATTGGAGAATGGATTCTGTGCGCTACAGGAGACCTGTCCAGCTCATGTCTGTCAGACAGACGGTGAGTATACTTTTCAATAATATACACTTATCCACTGGCTGCGAGTGGGATAGCTCTTTTATCAAACCCCGAGGGCTTGCCAGATGGGAATAGTTCCTACCAAGGATTTGATGGAAGAGCTATTTCACTTACAGCCAGTGGATAAGCATTTTATTAAACTGATGTATATAACAATTTCTCGGGGTTGGATGGCATATTTCATACCTTTGAGTATAGCTTTGTGGAACTCTTCAGCGTTGAAGAAACCGCAAAACAATCATATTGCAGGAAAATCAAAATTTGCATCAAAAGTTGAATGAAATCTTGGGGTGCATAGCACAAACCCCTGGGTATGGCTTTGCTTTTATGTAAAAATTTTCAGACTATACAAAAATAGTTATCTTTCCTTCCTATCATTGTGTATATGAAACATTTAATCAGAATTAAGTATAACAATAGCCATTAACACATTTTCTCACAAAAATGATATACTTGTACATTTTCCTATTTTTTTTCTCTCTTTAAGATTGCTCCCCAAAATGTGGTGCATCCAAAGATTCACAAGAAAAAGATGACTCCATTGTTATAATTGTTGTTCCGATTGTGTGTGTGTTAATAGTTTTCCTGTTGATTGTTTCTGTAATAATCCTGTATCGATGTCGACAAGGAAACAATCCGAAACAAACATATCTCGATCCGGTGGGAGATCTAGAGAAGGAAGACGCTGCTCCTCATTATCACGAAGTAGGATATGTCCACACTATAACACCAGATTCTACGGAAGGAGACTTTCAACTTAATAAATACGATGGAAGACGTTTACCTGCACATCCTCCAGTGGAAAATTCCACAGACTTGTACTTAACATGCAGTTCCTCAAATGGTTCTTGATGAATAATGATACTGCAGTTAAGATTAAAATGTCTGTCTCATTCCTCAAGGTGTCTTGTCAGAGAGGAAGTAAAACCTGCTCATTCGAACATGAATGGTAGGATCAGTGTTTAGTCTGGTAGATGTATTGGCCAAGGATGAAAACAAAAGTTCAATGCAAGATCATAACTTCTTGTACAGGAGCCTGTCCGGATGGGCTAGTATTAACATCTTTTGGTAATTTCCGCCATGTTATGTTCAGATATCGGTATATGTATCAATGTTGTAATTTTATCAGGACCATTCGAAAATGCGTATGCACCATTCAATGATCATCATTGAAAAGATAAATACTCAAATTATACTTCATCTATACAAAATAAATATGCATTAAAATGTTTCATTTTTTGTAGAAACCATTAAGTATTCTCCTTGAATATTCTAAACTAAATGCTATTTATTTGATGCATGTTGTGGTTGTCTTCTTAATTTTGAATTTTCTACCGAGTGGTAAAGGCACAGTTGGACCAACAGAAAATGTACTATTGTGTTGTACCAGAAAAATCTGGTGTAAATCGTTTTCACGTTTTTGTTGAATATATTATGTTAAAAGTGTACACGGAAATGTATAAGATTATTTCATGTTATATAATAGCATGAAAGCATATACATGTATATTTTGTTTTACTTATTTTGTTTGTTGTTGCTGTTTTCATTGTAGAATTTTTCATTAATGGAGTTTTATGTACATCAAATTTCTAATTCAATATTTCTGGCTTTCACTGATTTCCAGTGTTAGAGAAAAAGTTACTTACATTTATACAGATTTATTATTTTTTATTGCGAAAATTATTCCAAAAACTAGAATAAATTTTTAATTATCATAATTGATTCAGAGTATTCTTGAAAGAATGTTTAGTCTGAAAGATATTATTTTCCAACATAAAAACTAAAAAAATGTGCAATATGAAAACATAAAAATCGTTGTGTGAATTTAGTTTTTTTTTTTTTATGTTTCTCCATATATCCGACAAGTCATATTCACATACTGGTATATATTTAATGTTCACAGTGTATTGATATCGGATGCATGCAATAAAATGTCATCGGATCACTCATTAATCATCACTGAAAATTAAATACTCAACTGAAACTTAGACAAAACTAAGTAAAACTGACATCAAAATGTTTTATTTTTGTAGAAATCATCAAGTATATTCATTGAATGATTGATTCCTAAATATCGTACATTTGTGCATGTTGTTTGTTGTGTTTGATGGAAGCAGAGGATGGAGCAAGAGAAATATTCTTTTCCCCTCAAACATAATTTTCCACCTTATATTTCTGATCATTTAATTATGTTTGTGTGTATATTTTTCTTTTCCATTTTTTTAATGTCAATTACATTTTGATGTTCCTAACATAACATAAATTGTATGCATTGTTAAATCTCTGAAAAGAGGAAATAAAGATATAATGGAAGAATGATTACTGCTGTTACCTTGTAGTGTTGTTACCGTTGTTGTCTTGTTCAAGTTGTCCTTGCTGCTTTTTTCTTTGTATTCAATCAATTTTTATTTATTGAACTTTGTGTACATTGCTGGCATTTGGTGATTCACAAAGAAGTTAACTTACAATTCAAATTTTTATTTCTTTTATTGCAAAATCATTCCAAAAAACAGGAATTCTCATTCAATATTAAATAATAGTATTTGAATAATTCAAAAGAGTATGTATAGGGAAAAATACGAAAGTACAAACACATTCACTACTACAAGCTAGTATTTACTTAAACGCAAAAATCTTGTACAATGACTCTCTGGGCCTCGTAAAAACCGGTATATTCTAACAGTGATTATGCATAAGTATTCTTAAAATGATCATAACAAATTTAACAATCATGATATAGTCAATGGATTTCACACAAAAGACAAAAGATTTCAGTCGTCAGCATCAGCATTCATACATGATGTTAAGAGATTCAAAACATTACACACTTAAATAAAATGATTACAGAAGTGAGCAGTAAAGATAATCTCGCTTTTGATCCTGCAGCACGAATTTCGGAGATAGTTCTATCAACTGGAACCAGTCCCCCTACAAAGACAAATCGACCTGTGAGTTACAGCGCTCACCCGAGGAACCAAAATACAGCTATGCAAATATTTTTCATTTTTTCCTCATGGGGCTTTCTGATAATTAATATGATTATCTATATTTGTATACATATATATTTATATATATAGTAACAAAAATACATAGTTAATTATATTTTACTATGGTATCAAAGTTTTTACTATAGTTAATCGAAGATTTTATTCAATTTAATCAAATTATTTGGTCCTAAATCTCAAAAACATTCTCAAGTAAAGTTTCATAGTACACTATAGTTAACTGTAGTAAAGTTTTGTTGGAGTACATATATACATTGTTGTAAAGGGTACTTGCCTAGAGTAAAATACTTTGTTGGACTCTGTTTTCCGTCGCCTCCTTTACTGAAGCCGAGCACTCGTAAGGAATACACATATCCCCTCTGTATACCGTAAATAATTCCATGTGTTTCCTTCCCTGTAATGGTGTCGTTAGCTGTCCGGATATCGTCACCTTGTAACCAGTATCTCATCTAATAAATAGACATGGAAATAGGTAACATCTGATAAATAAATAAATGGAAATAGGTAACATCTGATAAATAATTACGTGGAAATAGGTAACATCTGATAAATAAATACAGGGAAATAGGTTCTAGAAAAAGATTAATTCATTTTATAATTCAAAATGCTACTGCAGTGATTCATTCTTGGACAATTTTTTCAATGTTTTTTTCTTTTATAAATAAACCTTATAGCCCCATAGCGTTTCCTCAAACAATCCAGTGGACACTCCTCGCCATTCTACATACACACTGTTAGGTCCGTGAGACATAATGTTAACAAACTCCGGATAGAGAATCGGTGCTAAGAGAAAAAGACAAAAAACCAGCTTAATTAAAAATCTTCATTTGTATATTAAATTCAGGGGCTGACAAATAGATTTTTTAGGCACTTGTCCAAGGGCAAGTGTATGGTGAAAATTCACTTGCCCTACCTGAATTTTTGCCCAATCATAAACTAATTTATATATATTTAAAAAAAATAGCAAGAAAAATACTGAGTAGAACATGCAATCCTCTGTGCCCAAAATTAAATCTATGACTTAAATATTTATTTTATTTTTTAAAAGTCACTTGCCCACGGGCAAGTGGTTGATAAAATTTAACTTGCCCTCTCCTAAAATTCACTAGCCCCGGGCGTCGGGCAATGGGATTTGTCAGCCCCTGAAATTAACTCATACAAGTAGACAAAAAGTGAACATAATTCATACCTGAGAGGCAAGTACTCAATCGCTGTCGCTCACTGGGGTTGCTGAGACCTGCCGAATTAAACATTTCTACCGTCACCCAGTAGTCTGTATTTGGTTCCATACCAATGACCTTATTTCCTGACATTTGTCCGTGATAATATGACGTCACAACTTTCTTAAATGTTATTTCGTTGGTATCGTCATCAACCATCTCAACATAAACAGTTATCTGCAAGAAAAAATGTAAACCTTCCCAATATTCAAATAGATTTTGGCAATGAGAATGAGGCATGGCAATTAACAGACATGCTTATAGATTATGCACACATTCAAAGTGATCGATAAATTTTCAAGCGTTGAATTTAAAAAAAAAAAAAAAAAAAAAGCACGTTGACTGTTCCTTTGCAACACTCTACACCTTTAAAGTTGATTAGTATTTGTCCATAACATATTGTTCTTCAGACAAAATCTGCATTATGGCTTCTTAAAAACAATACCAATAAGATCTCAAATACTTCGTAAATGTAATTTCTTACAAAAACAATTCCCTATTCCAAGAAATAAGATAGAAGTACACGTATCTTTCAAATCCTCAATTTTCATGGCGTTCACAATTTGATCGATACTGTAAATGTAGTTGTGTATTATCATTAGTCCGTGGATAGAAAGCGAAGTTTCCTTACCCTGTATCCTTTGATTGAACCTTTCGCCTTCTCTCGGGTGTTTTCCAAAGGATCCCACGTTACCCACAAAGCTGTTGAATTTATCTCATAACCATTTACATTGGTTGGTCGTGCAAGTGGAACTAAATTGACAAAAGAGGACGGTTGTATTTTTCTCAAAAATGACCGAATTGCATGTAGTTTGCATTCATTTTTTGACCTTGACCTTGGAGTTTGATTACTTTTCTAAATCTTTATCTCTAGCTATAACTTTTGAACGATTTGTGCTAAGGCTTTTATATTTCACATGTACATTCCTTTTGACAAGACCTTTTTTGTGGGTTTCAATATTTTTGACCCCATGACCTTGATCTACTTTTGAAAAAGTTGCCATACTGGGGCATCAATGTTTCAAACACACATCTTGTTTATCTCTTGTTTAAATTGATTAAAGTTTAAAATTAGAAAATTATAACTATTTTGCATTTGGTCATTTTCTAGAGATATTTTTATGTATTATACATGTTGCTTTTATAGTATAAAGTTAACCTACTTCCTTCCGAGGAGTATATCGTCGCTATTGAGCTATTCGGTCCTCTCCCAAAGGCATTTCCGACTCCTACTTTAACATCATATGGAAGATAATACAACTCGTCTGATGATAATGCCACGGTATACGTGGCATATATACCATCACTCCTGTTTGATCTTACTAGGCGTTTGTCCGATTCGGAAAGATTTTGCTATTGAGAAAAATAAGACAATTAAATTGTTCTCCAGTATTTCCTGCAAAGTATACAATTACAATATATTTTTCACGATCCAAAAAATATTGAAACGTTAAAATCTTTCCCCTGTTAGACTTGATCTGCCCCAGACAAATTGGATAAAAATATATCACGTGATGCTATGGGGTATTGCACATATCAAAACGTTTTCGATTTCCTCCGCTTTTTTCAAAATAGGTTTTCTTTTTTCATCCACTTATTTCCTATATCATGTTATAAATTCAATATACTACTACACGTATATCACTAATGAAATACCATTTGAAACTCCACATTTATGTCGCCTTCTCTGCTTCTTCTCCAGTACACATAGTAAACAAAGTTTGGTCCGCTTTTATATTCTTGAGATAACATCTGAAATTAGCCAATGAAAACCCTATTATATAATCACAAATAAAGGACAAATAATGGTCTTCGATAAGGAGCACTAAAAATGTGTATTTTCTCAACAATTCAAGTAAAAACGATAAATTAGCAATTATGATATCGTGAGGATTTTTCTGTATAGGTGATCTAACTTTTTTGTTTGATATATATTATAATTGCCAAATATTCAATAATAGAAAGAATTAAGATGTTCAAAAGGATAATATTGTATTTTTGTTATCAGAAAATTTCACATCCAGCTTTAATTTCGTGTTACAAATTCTATATTCAACCATATTTGTTCTTTGATTTGCAACGTCCCCCCCCCCCCAGCTTCATTATTATGATAAAATCATACACTTTTATAAATCATTTGCATGAACAGAAAATATCTCTATTTAATTGTTTAAATATCTGTATGTAAAAAACAAGTATATATGCGTTTAAATGTACATGTATGTAGGAAAAATATTTGAATTGCATATTTTCAGAGCTTCTGTTCCTTGATGAATATCCGTCATTTAACGTTAAAGAAAAAGAGGTTGAATCTTATTTAGTATTAGACACATATCCTCACCTTCCACGTAATAGACAACACCCCAACACTTCCCCCTCCTCCTCCCACATTTTCGGGGGCAACTATTGGTTTGGCTCCAGGAATATTTATCTCCTCTGAAAACATAACACCCAAACAAAATCCATCTATCTTAAATCGGTAATTTTGTGCTTAAATTTCTTAACTATCGACAGGAAGTAAGTATAGACAATAGCCATGAGAAGAACAGAATTGAAAATCAAAACATGACATATATATCCACATTTAAACCAATTTGTGTAATAATTCATTTTTATACATGTAGTTTAGGCTGATAATTTTATGTAGTATTAAATGAGGTTCAGAGTACCGTATATACTCGCCTATAATTCGGTTTTTTGGGAGTTAAATTTTGGTCCAAAACTCTATGTCCGACTTATAGGCGAGTCATAAAAAGATTAGTATTTTTCTTGACAGCGAAATGCAGTTTTTTTATAAACATTTCCCACGATTATCGTTGAACAAAGTCTGGATATATTATATCATTTATATATTCCAAGATTATACATAAAGTACAAGTATTTACATATTTTAATAACTTTATTTTTATCTGAAGTGTGCATTATGTATTTTTCTTAATGATTAAAATTAAATATCGGCGTCATTTTTAAAAATATTAATCGAAACCAGGTTAAAACATCAGAGCATTGATTTAAAATTGTCAACTAATTCTGGCAAAAAGTTGTACCGACTTATAAGCGGGTCAGTGGCAAATCCCTCCAAAATAACCTAAAAAAATTCAACCGACTTATAGGCGAGTATATACCGTATCTTAAACAAGTAGTTTTATTCCCTCAATGCCTTTTTATACATGGTAAATAAATGCAGTTTTATGGGCAACCATAAATCATTTTTGTTCTTTCGTATATTAAGTTTAATTTCTTTAAAAAATTGCAAAAGGGACTTTTTGGAAATCATGCGGATTCAGGAACAAAATACACGTTCAGTGGGTAAAACATACCTGTTGGACGACTTCTTTCTCCTGGTACAATGTATGAATTTGTGGCATAAATCCGGAAGCGATAGTTGTTGTAAGGAATTAGTCCCACAACTGTGTATTGTCTTTTGTCTACATCAACATTCCCTGGAATCAGGGCATCCATTTCTGCAATCCCTGTTGGCAATAGAAGATCAATTATTAGTTATTACGTGTACTTAACTTTATATTCTTATGACACTTTTTTTCATTTTATTTTTTATTTTTTTGCATCTCTTCCTGTGTTTTTGTATACATAAACATCATACTCACTGGTTAAAAGACGCCATGTTGAATTCAAGACGGTTTGTGCCTCTATGTAATAAAATAGTACTGGTGAACCATGGTCCGGGGGTCTAGTCCATTTTAGAGTTACGGAGTGGGGGGTTTCAGATCCTTTCACCCTATATACCACACCAGGAATACCAGGAGGGCCTGTCAAAATAGAGAAAATAAATGATAAAGTAAAGATGTGGAAAATGTCCTCTTATTTCTTACAATGACGTTCGTTTTCCGTTGTGATAAAAATTCAATTTTTGAGAAATTTCCCAAAAGAATTCTATTTCATAAAATTGGTAAAGGAATAATTTCTCATCATGAATGGCGTTACATTTCTGTAATACATATACTGAGAAATCACACATATACATGTACTTAAAACTTGTAATTTATCTGTTTATATGTGATTAAAAGGCTATTAACTACTAAAATCATTACATATGATTGAAGTAAAATTGTGATGTTATGTCGTACAAAGAAGTTCAATGTATCATGAAAAGTTAACGTTTCTTCTGCTTAGTTTGAAAACCTACCACTGCGCAAGCCTTGGTAAAAAAAATTACTTAATATGTTGTTAAAATTTTTCAGCTAACAATTCATTGAAATTTGCAGACGATAAAGGAATAAAAAAAGTGTGATATCCACGTTTGCATCTTTGGCATTAGTGGAAAAATTTATGTGATTTTTGAAAATAAACATCTGATATTGTTTCCCCCCCTAAAATAATTTTTTTTTAAATTAATCAATATAGACAGAAAACAGGATCTAAACATTGGAAATCGAACACTGGGCTTGAATTAATGGACATTTTGACACAATTTTATTCCCCAAAGTAGTAAAATTAACAGTTATTACCTCGAACAGTAACCTCAGTAAATATAGAGGTCTTTGTTATTGTTGTTTGTGCCACACACTCATATTGACCAGCATGAAAATAATCAGCATAATTAATAAAAAGTCCGTTCAAACTGCCAGACGATCCCTACAAAAGGAAAATTAATTTTGAAAAAACACACAAACACTCACCCCCTTCATAACAAGAAATTTTTAAGCCACAAAATGTGTATATACTGCCCTGTTTGATAAAAAAATCTTATCAACAATGGATCTCCTCATATTCTCTATAGACCAGTACACACGGTAACATTTTATTATAAACCTTGTATTTTAATACTATACAGAATTTTATCGTGTGTACACTCTTAATACAGTATATCATAGGTGATAAGATTTTTCGTAACTTATTAAGGTCGGTACACACAGTAACTTAAGATTTGTATTTTTATACAAGTATTATAATACTTGTAGTACTCTCCTGGGTGACCACTTTAGTATAAATTTTAAAAGATTATAAATAGACGTAGATAAATTCGCTTTTATATTATGTTTTCCCATAATAATTTTTTCAAAGCAAATCCAGTAATGTTTGAACCACTCTTTTTGGTACTTGTAATTCTCTTATTTTATTTTTTTCTACCATAATAACACAAACATTTTGTATTGATCTGAGTCGCTTAAAAAGGGAAAGAAAATGTAAATTATATAGAATTTACTAGTCAAAGCAAAAGGTCATATAAATAAATATAGGATGCTTAATACATTATCTTGCTTTATAAACATGACCAGAACCATTTGATTGGTTGGTCAGCTAGGATTTATATTAAGAAACAGAACATTGCTTTATACTTAATACAGTTTTATAGGGTTCGAAAAATTTGATGATACACTGTATTTAAAGTGTACACACGATAAAATTTCATATACTTATACAAGTATTATATAATTCAGATCTTACCGTGTGTATTAGCCTTGAATATTCTCTTAAGAATAAAGCAATGCTCTATTTCTTAATACAAGTCCTAGCTGACCCTTCATTTTCAACCAATCAGATGTACGCTAGCAGGATCACGTTCTACAATCCTATTTTAATTAAATTACTAGATGATATATCATTCATTATAAAAAGTTTACATGAAATATGGAGATAACGAACAGAGTCCATTCAAACAATACAAATCAGGAGCAGAGCAAACACGGACCTCTAAAACATCAGAGGTGGGATCAGGTGCCATGGAGGAGGGAGCATCCCCTGCCGACCGGTCACACCAGCCATGTGTTCCTTGCCATCATCGGGAAAAACGGAAACATTCAAGGACAATTCAGTGTGTAAATGATAGTCTAACAATTAATTATGAAAAAGATCAGACAGCATTTGACTTAATGATAGATTGTATTTGCTTACAAGGTCATTGTATCGACAATAGAATTTGCAAAATGATGACTTTAAACGAAACTGTTGATATTCTTGTTTCATCAACTTGTAGCCTGCCTCGTTTTATAAATTGTACGTACGTAGAACATCCTCTTGCATATCGAATCAACTGAGAGACATAAACACCATATATGCAGGTGATAAGGGTATATTGCTACACAAGTAAGGGAAGTTGAAAATTGAAAAGTTGCATCATCACGTTTATCATAAAGTTTGGTTTTTAGGTTACCATTAACGTCTTTTTCTCGTAGAATACCCAAATATGAAACAGATGTGTCAGGCATGCGTACAGATCTGATTTTAAGAATCACGAACTATTTTTTATATCATTAACTATCATTAACTTCCTCTATTTGTATCAGAAACTCAATACAAAAATACTTCTTCGCTGCTATTATTGTATAGTACTGGAAAATGGAAAAGAATTTTTAAAAGTGTGTTCAGTCATTGCTGACATTATTTTGAGAAAAATATAGTAGGAAAAAGGCACGTTAAAATTTCTACATTCATTTAATACTCATATGCAATAAAGTGTGTACAGCTAGGAATTACTATAAAACAACAGTATGGTGCCATGCCAAGATCTGAAAATTCTAGAAATCAATCTTGTTCAGAATGAGGTGTTGTTTATTATAGCTAGTTTTTTTTGTTTGTCTGTTGTTTAACGTCCCTCTCGAGAATTTTCACTCATATGGAGACGCCACCACTTGCCGGTGGAGGGCTGCAAATTTTGAACTATACTCGGCACTCAAAGCCATTGAACAGTGGGGGATCTTTTTCGTGCCAGCACCTACTGCGACACGGGACCTCGGTTTATAAGGTTTCATCCGATGAACCGGTCTCCACGTCCCATAGTGGGATTCGAACCCGCGAAGTAAGGATCAACTCATTTCACCGCGACTCTAAGAGCAAACGCTCTAACCACTGCGGCATGCGGGCGACTATTAGAGCTAGTATACGAGTATAATTATTTTTTACCAATATATATTTCGTCAATAGGTACGTTGTACTTTGTCTTTTTTTCTTATTTATGGAGAAGGTGAGAGAGGATACATTCTTGGTATTTACTATGAATGTTTAATTTTTTTTAAAAAACATTTCAAACGATTCTTTTCTATCTGAAAGAAAGACAATTGTTAACTAGAATGTTCCAAGGGATCGCGTGTTTCGACTTCTATATCACCATTAAAGATACATATACATCTTGGAGTGGTCAGCTATTTCTTTGAATAAGTATTATAGTTCATGCATTTATCATAAAGTATGACAATCATAGAAACATGATTCCTCAACCCTCAAAGCTCGAAGGAAATTGAAATTGAAAAATGTTATAAATAACCATTTATATATTTTAACCTCACAGAGGTTTCAGTCTGTCTTTCCTGCAATTGTTTGTCTACAGCTTTTATTGTAAGTACGATCCATTTCTGTATACCGATCCCAATGTATTAATATTTCATAGTATTTAAAGTTTAATATATGTATCATACTGTTTAAAAGTACATGTGATGAACTCATAGTCATGAAGTATATATGCTACTTATCAAAACCCTTGCGTCTCAATATTCAGAAGAGATCAAATGAATTTTAAAACATTTTTTTGAATAGTATGTCAAAGGTCAAGGTCAAGTAGACAGCAACTATTTTTCAGTGTCTTACGACAACCAGTGCATATGCTTAATAGCGCAAACTTACCTCCCAAATGTCAAAAATATACTGTATATCGGTATTATGAACTACTTTGTCAAGTTAAAATAAAGTTAAAAAGTTAACGCGAGGTCGGTAACCATGGTATTTTACAAAAGCCATAGTGTCAAACAAAACAAATGCATACCTCTTACAGTTCTCAAGATATAAGATGATATAGAGAGACGCCGGGTAAACTGAGTGAACTCTAAGTGTCGCTCTGCTCTGCAGGCGACACAAAAATGACAGAGATGAAAAATGCACACCTTCCTCAAAAAAGTATCCCTTTCAAAATCTATTAATTGGCCATTGAATTTCCAGATATAAACCAGATCCAGGTTATTGGAATCATAAGACGCTTGGCATGGTATGAATAGGGATCCATTTCTGTCCACGTGGAAGCCACTTAGTATAGGAGTCAAGTAAACTCCTCCTGCAAAAGATACGAGCTCTTGTTAAACTCACTATGGAAAGACAAAAATTCTTAAAACTTAATTTGCAAAACTTTCCTCAGTTCAAAATAATTTGTAAAAAAGGCATACTTGACACAGTAAGTTGAGTTGTCGTCTGTGCATCGCCGTGCACATTCTTGGCTGCACACGTATAAAAGCCAGCATCCTGGAGCTTAACTCCGACTATTTTAAGGTAACCATTTATCAGCATCTGAGCTCCATTTTGATTTCCGTTTGTCACACTCAGCGGAAGCTGGGCGCCATTCCTCATCCATGTGATTTCCGGTGCAGGTGCTGCCTCTGGCTCACACGGAATCGTAAGGTTACCGTTTTCAGCGGCTAACATGGTTTTGTGAAGTGGGTGTTTTATAAAATTTGGTCTAAGAGCTAAAAAAAAAACAAAAGAAATTTCTACTATTATAGAATTTTCAACAGCAAGAAAGTGGTATCATCCTTGAACAATATGCCAATATGAGTGTCAAGATGCAACTACTCTCCCTCGAATTCATTCACACTAAGCCATATGAAAAAGGATTTGAACAAGTTTATAGTACCGAAAGCACTTCGGAATGCTGACATGTTTGATAGAACTCATAAAGTTGTAGTTCTTGAGAAGAATTTTAAAGAATGCATACATTTTTAAAGAAACCTGAATTTACAATAAAGAAGGTGCTTGCGTATAATGCTATGATTTGCAGCCTTTTCCATTTGGGTAGAGGATTTTGAAATCATTCTGTAAACTTCTATAGTATAAAACATTCAAACCATGGCTTCATGCGTGCCATAAAAACAGCTTTTAAGTCTTAAGCATGACTTGTGGATTTTTTTCCCTTTATATATCTTATATTTTCAGCTCTTCTATGTATCATATACTTGGACCATGATGTTAAAAAATTAATCTATATTACAAGTATACAAGTGCTTACACAAAACTTTGATTTGAGCGCTGGTTATGGATGTCCCATGAGTATTGACTGCTACACATTCATACACCCCACTGTGCTTGTTCACTTGTGCTCTCTTAATCGTCAGTACGTTTGACATAATTTCCATGTCTCCTTGTGTTGACACTAATGGCTGACTGTCTTTAAACCACGAGAAAGTTGGCCTCGGTCTACCTAATGCCTCACATCTGACAGTCACCTGACTGTCTTCGTCAACAACGAGGTCTTTCAACGGATACAGGAAATATGGCTTTGCTGTGATAGAAAGAAAAAGAAACTGCATAAGAAAAGTTTCATAACTGAATGATTAAATTGATCTATATTGTAACAGACAATATTTAGTGACCTATTCAATGTGATCAAGCACTAGCTACTAAACGGTCATTGCATAACTGAAATGTGTAAGAAGACTATCAAATCCTCACCGTCAATGGTTAACAAAATATCCTTTTGATCATTGTTAGTTCTACCCTTCACAGTACATGTGTATGTCCCTTCATCGGCAAATTGTATATCAGGTATAACAAGAACCCGGTTGTAATCCTTCGTATAAGCCTTACTTGGTATACCTTTTCCTCCTTTTCTAGTCCAAGAATACTCAAGTGGAAGCCTGCAAAAGATAGGATATTCATACCGGTAATGTAATGTAATATATTTCTTTACAATAAAAAGCAACATTTTTGTACTGATATGGAGGCATCCTAACAGAGTGTATAGAAAAGTTTTATTGGATACCTTCCATATGCCAGACATTCAATTGATACAGGCTGTCCAAGTTGTGGAATACGAGGAAACACTGCAGGAAAATCATTGTGGATTTGTGGAGGGTAATTTGCTGCACCTAAATTGTTAATTAATGAAATTATTAGAAGGTTTTAAACGATATTTAACGATAGCATGTATTCAAGATACAAGCATTCAATACCAAAAGTAATGTATATTATTGCTTGATTTCTTGAAATTTTGAATTACCTCACTGGTTAGTTTTTTAAGATGTAACCATCGCATTACTTCGGTACGTTCTCTTATTCTGATTGAAAGTAGAAAACTTGGAACTTACTCTCTCCAAGAACATTGAGTGGCATGCCAAGACTAGTTTCTGATGGAGGTTGTGTGGTTGCCATGGTGTCTCCGGGAAGAGCGGCCAAGGTCACAACACAATGATAATTTGCAGCATCTGTTGTTTGTACCTCAGAAAAATACAGATTACCGCCAGCGGACACGAAAAAATGTTTATTTAATACCGACAACAGGAAAGAACTTCCCTTCATCCACTGGTATGTCAATGCTGTAAAACATTAATGTTAAACATTTTATCTGAACATATTAACATTTCTTTGATATACTTTGTGTATAATACTTTTCTCTACTTTTAAATAAGGATATCTTTCATATTCTAACAATTCATTAGTTTTGAGAGTTAATTGCTCTATATGATCTATGACGAAAAAAATTTGCCAAATGAATGAAAAAGAAAAATACCAAATAGTTCCAAGCCTTATATGGAAACACACAGAAGACTTAGATGACTTACCAGGTTTGTGAGATGGCGGATTGCATTGTATATATGTGCCCTGATACAGGGCAACATTCACAGCACCCGGGGCTACATTTGGGAACTGTTCCAACCCTGCAAAACAATGCATATAAACCCATTGATAGCCTTCACCTTGAGTGTCAGTTACCTTATCGCAACGTATCTCTGTAACGCACACATATTCCTAATTTTAAGAATTAATAAAGAAGTCTTACTCCCAAAAGAAACTGTTGAAGGTTCACTTCTAACGGATCCATATTTATTAGTAGCAACACAGTAGTAAGATCCTGCGTCTCGTGTTTCATTCAGACGAGTGCTATCAAACGTCAGTTTGCCGTTACTAATGGTGTACACGTTATTGGAGGTCAGAGTTTCCACACTTCCGGTTACTCTTTTCCTCTCCCATGTATATTTCGGCTGTGGATTTCCTATAGCTATACACTCAATGCTAGGGTAGTAAGACCGGGTGGTTAGAACTATATTTTTGGGAAGAAGAGTAAACCTTGGAGCTCTCTCAACCTTTAAAGGGTCTGTTATGTTGGTACCGTATGCTGTTCAAAAAATCATTTATAAAGCTTTTTATTTTTCGAACAAGAAGAAATTATCATTAGTCACCATAGATAATTTTTTTTAAAGCTCATCATTTTAATCATTTCTCTGTGAAAAGTAAATCAAAATTATTCCATTTTCTTTTTTTTCTTAGTAAGAGATAAAATCTCTCAAATTTTATTCAATAATTAAGATAAGCATCCACACGTCCTCAATATAATTTTATTATACAGGCCATACTATAAAAAAATTACTTTGATAAGTAATGAAGCTAAACTTAAATGGATAAGAATATGTCCATTCTGGAATGATTCACTCTAAAGTGCTTGTGCAAATTCACATAAACGATAACATGTTTTTCAAAGCATGTATGTGTATACTGCTCTGTTTAGTACTTACTAAAGTCTCTCTCCTCTTGAACAATGCGGCTTAATTCTGATTTTGGAATCTCACAAATAAAATTATATGGTTCATCTCCTTCGGTTTTGCTCCATGCATATCCCATAAGGTAATCTATAAAACATTGCCAGTGATTTTTTTGTATAAAATATGTATTAACTTTTGAAAGAAATCTATCATGTTGTAAATTTTGAATTGACTAGGTGGAGTTAAATGTGAAATTTACAACAAGACAACTATTTATTTTTATGTAAATTTGCATTTACCCCCATCTAGTAAGTTCAAAATTTACAACATTATAAAGCATTTAGATAAAATCTTAATATTTCCATGGTTACATTTAAAACTTAAATATATTCATGTTATCATAAAGATTTCCCCCAAACAACAATTACAGGAAATTATGATCTTGAACCAAATAATGTAGATTGGGAGAGATTTAAGGTTCACTACACAGTCCATCATAGCAAAGTATATTGATCTATTTTTGAGTAAATAATTAATATTCATGAGCATATATATGCGATAACATGAGAACAATATTTCTTATTTCTTAAATAAATTTAAGTTTACTTAAATTTTTTTATTGTAATCAATAAGTGTCCTCCTTGAATGTTCAAGTCTGAAATATTGTATAGTGATGTATTATAATGGTCATTTTGTTTCATGTCTTAGGAGAGGCAGAGATTGACCAATCAAAATCAAACAATTAAAATTCCGGCCACGCGGTGCGTCACTCTGCCTCTTCTAATTACAGCCTTGAAGGACGGATGTTTTTTTTCAAGTTTGTCATTTACCTCCTTCCATCCCGCCTCCGCCAAAATTTTTGGTTGTAATTTTATATTTTAAGCGTTTTCAGACCTATTTTCATGATTTTTCTGTAAAGTCTAAGTTGTAATTACTGGAAATTTGGATTATCTCCCTTTACAAAATTGGTTTATTTCTCATATTTATATTTTGTGTCTGCTAAAATTATATGCCATTGTTAATAATACTTTTGAGAATTTCAAACAAATTATTAAACGTCACAAAGGTGGCAACACACGACAAACTATTTTACAGACTTTTTATTCATTGAAGGAGGATAAGATACATGTATGGTGTTCTAGTGATGAGAGGATTATGGAAAGAAATAAGCAATTTAATGGGTAACTGGGCTATCAAAATACTTATTGAATTAATATAAAAGTGGTTATTACATTATGGTTGTCTGAAAGTTATGACAAGGGTTTTTTTTTTAAATATATATTTGATAGCCGTTTTTCTACAATCAAAACAGAAGAAAGCTTCGATCGTAAAAATTGTGATATTCTTCGAAATGTTCATGTACATGAATTTTCCTTAAATTTCAAGAATAAAAACAATGAATTACCACCTTTTAATGAAAAAATCTTTTTGCAATATTGTGTTCAGTTTAGATGAGTTTGAAAAATAAGAAAAAGTGGCAGATAGATCACAAAAAATCTACGGATATTATTCAAAGTTATGGATAATAGAAATCGAAAGTCTCTCTTATTTTATAGTCATACTAACCGTCATGATATTCATTAACTTCAAATCACCTATTGTACTTACCTGAGTATCTGTAAACAATGAACATAGGTTCGAGGTCTCTGTGGGCTGCATTTATCCAAAATATGGAGGAAGCCCGGGTACCATCCCCATTCCAACGTACGATCCCATCCTGATGTACACCGCTCGTGTACCAGAGGGACCTAAGAACAAAAAAATAGAGAATAATGTTTACAGGATATTTGTCCTGAAATGTCAAATCTCTTGCTCAGCTGAATAAACTTCACTGGTGGAAAATTCTTTAATTAAATAAGAGATTTTACAAACCACAATGGACAAGATTAAATATCACAGTGAACTCTACAAAGATTATTTTCAAAATGTGGTTTTGAGATTCTGCCGCTCAAACCTATCTAGAAAGCCACAGACTTGTTTGCGAAAGAATAAAATGATCGAAATGTACATATCTCAAAATACACTAAAATTTTTGTCAAATATCATCCTTATAACATTTTCCTTTTATGATGTATTACTGTCTTTCTTGCCTTATGTATAGTTTAAGTTAGTTTAATGTATAAGATAAGTACACGTATCAAAAAAAAAAAAAAAAAAAAAAAAAAAAATAGATGCGTAACGGTGAAACGAATGCCCCCGCTGACATGCAAGTTTTAAATATGTGAAAGTCCACAAATTTGCAAATATCAATGGGTTGAAATGGGAAAAATAAATAAATTAATTAATTATCATATTGCTCCTTTTGTTTTCTGGAATAATTTTTCTGTACCTCAAAATACTTAAACTGCGTGAAATGCTGTCTTCTTACAAGCAAAGTAATAAATAAAAATAGGTAAAAAAAATAGTGAATAATTAGAAATTTTGAAAGTCTAAGGACCATAACTTTTGAAAATATAGGTCAATCAATACGAAACTCAAATTTGATCTTTAAGAGGGCTGGGTGGTTGTGGCCATTTTCAGACTATATTGATCTCCTTTAGAAGAAGAGCTCCATATGAAGATATACAAAAATGATCAAATTTTAAAACTAAAAGGTATGAAATTTTTCTTTGCCAAATGATAGTTCACAGCTTAAGATATCATATCTAAGAAATTAAGTTATATCTGATGGTTAATTTGTTGACCCCCAGCCTCCTTAAGTCATAAATACAACGAGACAAACCAAAGAACATTTTCTACATACACACACAAAAAAATACAGGAAAATAGTAAATAAGAAATTTCCACCAAAGTCTAAGGACCAAAACTTTCTTAAAAATAGGTGAATCACCACGAAACTCCAACTTGATCTGTAAGTCATCATAACCAGGAGACCAAAAATCATAATATTAATTATCTACAAGCATTGCAAAATCAGTTTGGAAAGTAGAGATATATTAGAAATTTTCACCGTCTTAGGTCCATAACTTTGGCAAAAATAAGTTAATCATCACGAAACTTCAACTTGATCTGATTTGATATAAATGCAACACAAAGTTATGGAAATCTCCAGTCTTTCCAAAGCATTCCTTGTTCACCCAAATTGGAAAATTACTTTCCAATGAAAACGTTAAAAATAACAAACAGTAATCAATCTTATAAATCCTTTAAAAAATACAAATTGTGAACAGGGCAACAAACATGGACACCTGGAAACACCAGTCGTGGGATCAGTTGCGTAGGAGGAGTTGCAAACCCGTGAGCCCTCTGTATTAATAAGGAAAACACAGTAATCTATAGTCAAAATTAGTACAAAAGCAATGGCCTAACAATTGGTATGAAACATGTCAGTCAAAATAAGACAAAATAAAACAAAACAAAATAAAACAAAGTCATTATAACGACCACAAAAATTTGTAAAATGCCGCCTTAAAACGAGATTGTTGAGACACCTGTAACATCAAATTTTTTGTCAGTGGCCTGCCTCGGATTAAAAATTGATTGTACTCAGAGCATTCTTTTGCCTACCAAATCAGTTGGTTGACATAAACACCATATACAGACGCTAGTAGAATGTTACTACATGCATAATAGAAGCTGACGATAGAAACACTGAAGTCGCGCAGTCTGTTGTATAGTTTAGTTGTTAGTTGGCCATTAACGTATCTTGTCAATAATCCAAATATGAAACAGATGTAGTAGACTCTGTGATATCTTTTATTACAAGTTCACTTGGAAATGTCAAGTCGACACATGAATGAAAATAACTATTGTTAATTGATAAAGGTCGTCGATATATCTAAATGTGTAAGGGCAAAACATTATTTTTTCTACCCATTCAACATTTTGCAACAGGGTCTCAGTTTATTATAGCGACCAAACACTATACTCGTAAAGAACAAACTACACGGAAGTCCACACTGGCACAAATCCAAATAAGATGTATATAAATAACTCGGAACTCAATGACTTACAAAAATGTATAACATTTCAAAACAAATCACCCAAATGGGCTTACCGAACATTCCTTTACACAATAAAGAACAAACAAAATGTTTTAATGTCATACACATCAGATGGAATTTTCAAGTACCCATCAGGTTTCCAAAGTACAAAACATTGCCGACTTAAAGTAATTATGTGTTGCGCATCAGTAGTTTTCTAAAGGTTTCCGTCAAAACTTTGCAGAGGCAAAACAATATCCGGATCAAATCAGTTCTACTCCAGACAGAGACTGTTTTTATACATTGTGAGAGTCTGTGTAAGCTTTCTAATTTACAAGAATATGCAAATTTGTGCATTTTAATTTTTTTTGTACTGTATTTGAGAAAGGAATGATGAGACCTGCAATTGATTTCAAAGCACCTGCTTTTAATTGAAAGAAAATGAACTTCTGTACTTTAGTGGAAACAGGTAGTGACGATATATGTTTATTTGTATTAAAATGGTGAGAAAAGGCTGATTTACAACATTTTGAAAATTGAAAGTGTCTACCAAAGATTCATTTGAATAAAAAGCGTCTACCTTAAGATGCACTTTTCCAGTAACAATATTTAATGGAAAAAATTAATACTTGTGTGCAACTTGCAATGTCATGCTTCTTTATCAATATTAAGAAGGAAGTGATTTAGGGATTTAATAGGTAGTTGTTTGGACATTGGGAAGAGCTTCAGAAAGAGAAGAATATATATATATATATATATATATATATATATATATATATATATATATATATATATATATATATATATATATATATATATATATATATATATATATATACCGAGAGAGAGAGAGAGAGAGAGAGAATGTCAAGTATTAATTAATCAGGTAAATACATCTTTCTTACCGCCATTGGTCAATAGTCCGAAGTTTTTGAACGATAAAATTATTTTCGTCCACAGAATTCACACTAACTAATGCTGCACCATAACCCTGAAAATTAAAATACAGAGCATAAATATGTATTGTAATCTGATAGTAGGATTCATTGTATGTGTATCTTTATTTGAAGTGCATTGTCTGTGACCAAATCGCAACCCAGAACTTTATTCTCATTCACCTCAATTTTTTATGCCCCAAATGCAAAAATGCTTACATTGACAATGTTTGCTTCTTCTTTAATTCTTATTAAAACCACACTGCTGCTAACAAGAGCATTAACAACAATTTACATCTAAACTAGTTCGATCCGTATTTTTTTTAAATCCATCAGTAACTCCAAATATTGAAGAAGTGTTGAAGTTCAACTATTTCATCTATGTAACTAACGAATCAATAATACGATATTTTACGTACTTTAACCCACTTGATATGAATGATTTAAAATTATTACAGCGCCCTAGTAATATTGTCTTCTACTTTAATGAATGAATGCACTGTTAAAGACTGAAAAAACGTGGAATATATGGAAATGTTGTTTATAATATTGTAAGTCTTGCCTTAGCGTGTGGACATGAAAGTCGTACGGCCTGCAAAAACGTAAGGTTTTAGACTTATAAGGCAAGCCTTACCGTGTGTACCGGCCCTAAGAGACATGAAGAGTAAACTTGTGAAAATAAATTTTATTAATCTATGATAGAATCAGTCTGTTATATCTTAAAGGGTTCAATTTTAGAATAATGCATCAATTAATTGATTATTTCGGGTTGAATATATTCCTAAATTTTAAAATCATTATCGGAACGCTAATGACCTATGAAAATAGTCTATGAAGTGTTTGTTTATATTTTTAAAACATCTCTTATTAGGCAGGTAATTGTAATTAATTACATGTATTCAAATCTGAAGAGTTAGCGACAATCTTGCCCCTGCTTAGACGGCTGGTTCGTCAGTTTGAGCTTGTATTTATATATTCTTTGTTAAAATTATATTTCGGTTGTATGTTGTATGCGCTTAAATCAATTAATTATTTCAAACATTGACAAATATCAAATGTAGAATTCCTTATTATACACCTTCAAAGCTCTACATCAAGAGTATGATGATGTACATTTAAAATAAACCAGATTATATCTATTTTATCGAATATTCGAATATACCGGTATTCGAATACTTTCATTGAATATTCGAATATGAATTATTGACAAAATTGACATCCCTAATATATATATATATATATATATATATATATATATATATATATATATATATATATATATATATATATATATATATATATATATAAAGCTTACGGCGAGTGTGACTATTCAACAGGAATGCTTATTCCTCTAAGGCACCCGGGCCCACCTCTGGAATTTTCAGGTCCCCGTGTTTTATGCCCTATTTACAAATTTGTATTGTTTGTAGATTTTTTTTTTAGATCGATCACTGTTCGTTATCTTCGCCTTTTTCATTAGAGTATTTTTTTCTGCAATGTTGCAGCCATTACATCTCATATATCACAACAAAGAAACATATTATTGTTTAAATAAAGCTTTATGACATGATTTATAATTTGACCAAAAAACCACGAGATTAAAGGGGGACATTTGTGTTTTTGTAAGTCTGCCAAGGACTTGTAGTCTTCTATTCTACGTAAGCTAACATACTTCACAAGTTTTGACGGCCTCTTCATATGTTCTCTTGGGGTAGATCTGGAACTTATAGCAGTGGTCGTTGTAGGAGAACCAATCTACTGGACAATCTACCAACGGAAGAAAATGTCATGAGAAAATAGCACATCAACAGATTCTATGTGTATATAGAGGATATCCAATGTTTTGTTGTTGGATATGGGCATTTAGCTAACAAGTGAGGCATGATTCTTTAAAAAACATTTTTTTTAGGATTGCTTCGGAAGCGTAAGTTAAAATAGAAAAAACATGGGTCTCAAGAGTAAAACAAATTCCATATCTATCTACAAATCATTGATTTTTTTCTTTATTTACATTATCTTTGGGTTTTCTCCCCTTATTACCTTAGTAGTTCATGCTGTTATTTTAACATTGTGTAAAAACGCTATTAATTTTATTGTGCAAAAATTACACATGCCTGTGAAAGAATCAATATTTGTTAATATTAATTTTTTTTTAGTATAACAGTATTTTACCCTTAAAATTGTAATCAAAGTGTATTTTTTAATTATCTTTACCAAGTAATCTTTGAGCTGCTGTGAGTCCAACTAACAGAACTGGAATGATGGCTACATATCTATTATAATGCATGTTCTCATATCACGTCATCTGCAACAGGACAAAATAGACTTAATGATTAGCAGCCATGGATTGATAATTATTCAACCTGTATTTTATGCAAACCACACCCTGCAAAATGATGGATGCAATCAAATCTTACAGAAAAGCATCCCAACGAATAAAAAATAAGTAGCTGCGTCTACGTTGCCTCTCTCTCTACAGTCTTTGAAATTCTCAAGTTAGTGTACCAAAAGCTTTCGTTGACGTCTTTGAAACTACTGTATTTTATTTTTTCTGGAACTCATTATCCAGTTCAAACAAACCTTACACATGTAGTAATACAGAATACAAATTTGATATTTTGAATTCAAATATCATTTCATTTCGTTTTAGTTTAAATCAGGTATGAAATGTAAATAACGTATCAAGAAGTTAGTTTTTATTTTTAAAAAAAACATATAAAAATAAAATTAAAAAAAAGATTTTTAAGATGCAGATTAATTTTAAAAAATTATGTAGTGATTAAGAAGTTTTACTATATTCAGCCTTTTTTTGATCGCATCAATCAGCTGAAAATATTATTTAAAAAATATTTTTTAAAATTACATTGCCTTGCATTCATATTATAAACAGTGCAATAGTCTTTTAAATGTATCATCCTTGTGGATTTGCGGAAACATTTTGTACAGACTGAAAAAAGGAAAATTCTAAATAAATACATTAGCCTTGTGAATTTGCACAGACTGCAAAAGGGGAAGAAAGAATAATTCTATAAAAATATCATATAATCTTTTCTTTTTTTATTTTTTATTTATTTTTTTTTTTTTTTTTTTTTACAAAAACTGCATATTCATTTTTTTTATTATTAAAGTAATTTCGAAAATAATTTCTGAAAAGATATTTAAAAATTCAAAATGATAAACAATTATATTATTTATCGCACTGTATATGCATGTTATTCCCTTAAATCATTTTTTAAAAAACATCAAAAGCACCCCCGCCCCCCCCCCCTTCAAAAAAAAAATAAATGTTGCTTTTTCTTGTTAGAATTATTCTGTAATATCATAATTCCTATTCTCAATGGACCAAACTATATCTTTATAACTTTTTTTTTCAGGAATTTTATGTAAAAATTACATAAAGTGTATCAATACACATACAATGATAACCTTTTTATCTTTTGTGCAAATGTACAGATTGTATTTTTCTTTTCTTCTATATTATCCCAAATTTGATTTGTTTGATTTACAAAATAACACAGCTTATTTTCTTAAGGAAATGTAAATATGTAGAAAACCTATACATATATATTCAAGGGAACACGGGGGAAACAATGCAAATACCGTAGTAAACTTTATTGTCGGATTAAAATTATATTCTTCCCTAATGTATTCTACCGTCGCGGTAGCTCAGTTGGTAGAGCGCTCGCTCCGTGATCGGAAGGTCGCGACTGACCTAAGTCGATAAAAAATAGGTAGCAACTATTCCTTCGCGAAGCGCTCGGCGCTTTGAAGTGAAAGTTGCGAGTCCGGATTAGACCTTAAGAACCTAGTCCCGTGTCACGACAGGCGTTGGCACGATAAAGATACCTCACTGCTCAATGGCCCTGAGTGCTGAGTAAAGGTCTAAATTTGAAGCCCTTCGCCGGTTTATGGTGACGTCTTTATATGAGTGAAAAATTCTCGAACGAGACGTAAAACAACATACAATCAATCCATAATGTATTGCTTTCAAATTACACTTTTTTCTCTTAGAATTAAAATACATAGACTTAATCTGCGCAATGTTTCTCTGTTTTGGAAGCGGAAACTTTATGCATTAGTGACAAATGAATGTGGTGCTCATCAAACAAGCCCAGAAATCCAACGATATTTCATTTAGAGTTATGTATTATTTTTCTTTCTAACTTTCGGTTCCAAGTCTTTTTTTCACAAACAAATAACCAACATTTTTTTGAAAAATTGGAAACCAACGCTTTTCTAAAATAAATATCGATAAGGTCTGTTCAAAATGGCTTCCTTTTTAAATCGGAGAGCTTATAAGACGATATTTTTTTAGGGTTGGCACTGGGCAAATATGCTAAAAATAGCATGATATTATATATTTATAAAGCTTTGAATTAGGCCTGAGACGAATCAAAAGGAAAACGACATTTTTTAAATTTAAAAGTTGCCTCAGTTTTTTCTCAAATATTTATACGGTATCCATTTCACAATTGAATATTCATTATGGCGCCACCAAGATTTATCCCACTTTAAACTCGAGAACATCTATATTGTCAGTTAACTTTTGTTTGATCTTTTGTAAATTCAAATAGATTTTGAGAACTATACAGAATATATTTGAACAGTAAATGAGAAGCACTATAATTGATTACTTGTTATTATAGAAGACAAGATGAATCGCTATTCATATTAAGAAAAAAACATGATAACTGTTTACTTTTTGGAATTCAGTTTTCATATCTTGATGGCTTTATCATTTTCTGTTCAAAAGTTGAAAACGGAGGACAAGTGAAAAACGGAGTTATAGAGTCCTTGTTGCCTCTAAAAATTGAAGCTGAAGCCTACATGTGTTGCTGCCAATTCCAATTAAAGTTTGAAGGTTAGATTCAGCATACAACTTAACATTCGAAATATTGCAACTTGAAATGACAAAAGCTATAAAAGGACTCTCATTATGTAAGTGAATGAATTTCATCTACATATTGAAAGGTCAAAAACAAAGATCACAGTTTAATTAAAAAGTTGACTAAAATTATACCTGATCTCAACTACATGTACTATATAGTCTTTAGGACTTCCAACAGTACGTAGGAGTTCAAATTGGCATTAATTGTGCTCAGTTGTCAGCCGACCTGGTTTTATATTCTTATGAAGCAGAACTTATTCTACATTGAGTAGAAGAAAACTATTGCTGTGGCCTTCAATTCGACATGTGAATATAACGAAAAGTAATCATTCTCAAACGTCCATTTAAATAATACAAATTATGAGCAGATCCAACATGGACATCTGAAAACAACGGTAGGACTTCATCTTTTCCATTGTCAGCTCCCCCTATTCATGCAGTAATATTTCAATATCACCTGCATTTAGTGTTAATGTCCCCATTCGATTCGGTACGCAAGAGCATGTTCTTAGTTCGATCAATTTTTAAACTAATAACAAGTTGATGTTACAGGGATTTCAACAGTTTTGTTTTAAGTAAGTTTTATGGTCTAATTTTAAACCTTGTTTAAAAATGCAACCAAGGGTTGAGTCGTATTTTGACTGTCATTACAAAATTTTAGGCAATTTTTGACTACGGATTCGTCCTTTTGCCTGATTAATACAGAGGGTTCACGATGATTGTAACCCATAGTCAGGATGGTACTTGGCACCTGATTCCATTTTTAATGTTTCCAGGTGTACATTTCATTGTCTTGTTTACGATTCGTTTACATGTACCGGATTTATGAGATTGATTACTGTTTATCTTCACCTTTTTTCATTACTTCATTATAAAATTTAAAAAAAAAAGTTTAAGTTAACAAGACCTCAGATAAATATATATAACTGAATATGAAAAGATAATCATAATAGCTCCTTTAACAAGTATCATTTATAAATTCAAGGTTTAAAGTCAAGACGAAGGTCAATCCAAATAGTATTATTTATAATACTACATCTTGATTTATCTTGGTTTGGTTGAAGAAGATAACGGTAAAAATAGGTCAACCTAACATACAAATACATATTTTTTTTGTTTATAAATGTAAATACCAAGGCCAAAGGCAGTTTTTAAAACAGTTCATTCCTGATTTTACCTAAAATTATGAAGAAAATAGTGTTTGGAATAGATAGGGTTTAACAAAAGCAATATCTAACCAAATTGTTAGCACATATTTTGCAGTCTAGCAAATTATATAGAGGGTATTCAATGGTTTGTTTTGTTGTTGTTGTTGTTGTTATTTGTTTGTTTGTTTGTTTAACGTCCCTTCTAGAATTTTTCACTCGTATTGAGATGCCACCACGTGCCAGTGGAGGGCGGCAAATTTAGATTTGTACTCGGCACTCACGGCCTTTGAACAGTGAGGGATCTTTTTTCCCAGCACCTACTGCGACACGGGACCTCAGTTTAAACCGACTTACCCTAAGGACCGGTCTCTGCGTCATACAGTGGATTCGAACCCGCCATGTAAGGATCAACTCTGCAACTAGAGCAAACGCTCTGACCACTGCACCATGCAGAAGACTCAGTGTTTTATTGTTGGATATGATTTTTTTTTTTTGACGGGTGGGATAGGATATTTTTTATAATGTCATGAATGCAAAGCATGAATGAAAATATAAAAGTATTCTGTCACATAATATTTTCTTTGCATTTCCTTTTGTCCTTAGAAGATGATTCTCTTTTGAAATTTAAAACAATATATATTGTGTGATGAATGTTGGACCAAAAGAATGATGCAGTCATAAAAAAGAATTTGATTAGTTTTGAACTATTAAACAAACTTTAACTTTGTAATTTGAACTATTAAACAAATTTTAACTTTATAATGGTAATTTCAAAGTTAAGATTTATCCATTTTTGTCATGTGGAATTGTTTGACGTCCGAGTATTGTTCCGGTTGTTATTTTCATAGTGTGAAAATAACACTTGTGTTTCACTGTTAAAAGAACACCTATGAAAATATCCATTTTTATTTACGAATAAATTACAGTATTTCTCTGTTGAAAACGTCTTCAATTTCGTTACAGGTGACAAGTGGATTTGCATCTGATTCTTTGTAACAAGGAAAGTTATTTTCATCCGATGCCTCAAAATACCACAGAGTTTTTATCTTTTCTACGACAGAAGTTCGTAAATGAAAATGGTGTCGTCATACAGCCTTCAATGTCATTTATTCAAATATATAAACTATATAATAAAACAATTATGGACTCTTTCGGGGTTGAATACGGTTTTTAACATGACCGCTGAAAACAAAATTTTCACATCAATCTTGAAGATCCTATAGCTACTAGCAAATTTTTAAATATAAAATTTATAAACCCGATATTGCTCAGTTTCAAAATGAATACTGATGACTTTTTGATTCTCCGACTCTCGAAACTTTTATTTTCTAAGTAGTTTTTGAAGAATATATGTTGTCAAATTCATTTTAGTAAAAGTTTTGTTCCAATTTGTATGTCTTTTCTTTTTTAAGATTTTAATACATCTACTCAATTTATGTTGTATTAAATAATACATCATAAATCATTCTGTTACCATGGCAACCAACCACTTTTTGATTAATTGTTGGATCTTTATATTTCGAGTTATTTTTTTAATTACATATCTGTTTAAAATGACTTTACCTTAATACAGATGAGTCAACATGCATAAAAAATGATTGTTCGAAATGTTAGTTTAATTCTAAGAATGTCTGTATTTCTTACAAATATACATCTGACAAACAGACTTGCAAAACTACATGTCTACTAACTATTTCACATTGTTACATTTCTTTATTTCTTCCTATTTAAGAATAATACTCAGTACATAGACCCTTAATTCAAGGATTGGTGTCTAAAATGGACCAGAAGTTAAACACTTGAGAAAACTTGAACAACATTTCAGCCAAGGCTGAGACATACATGATAAATTGTTTCCATCATTTAAGTTTGTTTTTTTATTTGTTACCAAAATTATTTTCAAAAGTTCAACAAAATATATACTTGACACTCTAATCCTTAATAAATAATATCCAGTTATTTTTCTAACCACGTATTCCCTGGTATACGCATTAGGCAACAATCATTTTGAAAAAAAAATCACATTGTGTTTACGAATCAGCATATACATGTAATTTTCACTTCTTGAAAAGTTGCCATTTTTAAGTTGAAGATTGCAGAAAAGCGATGTGCAGGAAATAAATTAGCATTTACTTGAAACTGTATGAGCAAATTCAAATTAAAACCTTTCAAAAATATTTGATGTTTTAGTTGTTGAAAACCTTCCTGCGAAGTAGAGAAAGGTAACGAAAAAAGAAAAGAAACAATAAATTATGGAAAGATCTTCTGCTGAAACAACTGAAAATTTTTAAGATTATTTAAGGATGAAAATATTTATTGTCAACATAAATTAAGAATTATGTTGTAGATTCCTTATTTTACGCGTGTACTTAGTATCGCGAAATGCCTCGTAGACGTCAAATCGCGAGAAAAGGAATAGTTGCTTGAAACGGTTTACATGTATCTTAGCAATATAAAATCAAAGAGAGTAAATTAATTTCGTTGAGTAATGCTTCTCGCGAAATTACGCGATGATAAATTCTTCGAGCATATATATTTAGGAATCTACAGTATCGAATTTTTCCTCTGATTTTATAAATTTCTTTTTCCACAATCATTAGACACCATTCAAACATTTACTACTGTGTAAAACGTTGAAGTGATGTCCTTGAAGCTCACGCGATTAAATTCCCAAAGAAATAGATTTCTATGAATAAATCTTTTTTTTGAAACTACTCCGCTTACAGAAGGTTCGGAGTTCAATGGCTACTAATCTAAATAATGGTTTATTTAACAAATCTATTCATGGGTTTTAGTTTATCCTCAGCAGGGAAGGTTTCAGTAGGTGAGAGTATAGGGCGAAAAAATGTCCGGTTCTTGTTCACCTGGATTAGTTCAAGGGGAGTCAGTGTCATTTATCCAGAACGTCGGTACATACGTAAATCTGATTCTGATTTTTTGAAAGTTGTCTCTTGAATTCTGTCCTTTTCTTTTATTATTTCCAATTTGTGTCAATTAAAATATCTTTTAAAGCTTTTTATCTGCTTTTGGACTTTACTTTTTCATGCATGGATGTATAAATAACTAGTCTTCAAAAAACTGTAGAATAATGGTAGGTAATTTATCTAACATTATAATTAAACCTCACTCTTTTTGTGAAAATAAATAGTTAACAAATAATTTTGTCCATTTTTCTTTATTATGAAATTCTTTTTTTTACGGATGAGAGACTGTACTTTAACATCTAGCGTCACCCGTGTTTATTTTGTCATTTGATCACCTAAACAGAATAATTCGGTTTTATCCAGAATTTCTACGTCATTCGACTTCTCAGTTTCGTCCCATTGAAACAGAAATGTTATCTCGTTCAGCAAAATCTTTATCAACATTGTTCACATCAATGTTCGGTTATTGAAACGTATAATTAACTATAATGCTGCTTCTGAAATTATTTGATGTTTTAAATATAGGTCAGCTTTCTTTAAATTTAAAATGAAAATGTAGGGCAAATTCCGCAAAATAAGTGCAAAACTTCCATTCATTTTTCCTTATGCTTTGGCATAAGTCATGGTCATGTATACTAGCGTACCTACGTACCACAACCTGATTACTTTTTTTTTCAAATATTAATTTTGCACACTAATATTTTGTATAGAATTGCATTTTCATAGAGCAAATTTTTAAACTGCTCTTCATTTCTTTTTATATAAATTCTTAGGCCACCATTCCAAAAAGTAACATCCACTCAAAAATGTTTTCATGGTATTCACGCGCTTATAAATGTAAATATAGAACCTCATTCAAAACAAATTGCTTTTGCTTTTTGGTGTAAATTTTACTAGATTTCAGGACTACCTATATGTTTCTTCCCATTTTTTTTTTTTTTTTTTTTTGTTCACTAAAAAGAATTAATTTAATTTAGAATTTTTTAACTAATTAATTTAAACTATTATTTTTTCTGAAAACTTCTAACTATTGTTTACTTCTACAGGTGTCAGTGAAATCAAGGTGACTGTTTGGGTAAGTCATTATGGCTGGGTTAAATGGCCAAAATGACCTACTAAAATTCAATTGATGTCAGCCCCAACCCTCATTATTTTGAAGACAGGTCATCGTGACCATCTTATTAAACACCTTCATGTGCTTCTGGAAATAACGAAAACATACCCTTACCTTGACTAGTATTTAACACATTTCGCTAGAAATGACTCGTAGATTTAATTCAAAATACTTCCTAAATACAGTTTGCCCGAAACAATTGACAAACTACGCCTAAATGTTACAATATGCTAAACTAAAAATTTCCTATGGAAATGTCTTTTCCTGCATTTTAAATCAGATTATCGCAATTTTCTTGAGATAAAAGAAAAGAAGGATTACATGTAGGTTATCTGAGTTCAGACAGAAAATGAATGAGCTAAAAAGAAATTCTTTTTTTTTTTCATTTAAAAAATGCATTTTATATTTTCTTTATATTTTAAGGCAGACTTCGGGCTAGGATTTAATATAATTTTTTTAGTCTAGAAATAAAAACTGACTCTTAGCCCTAACATATTTTTTAAAAAATTATAGTGAAAGTAGAAAAATTAAAATCTTACCCCGTAAACAGTAAAATATAAAGCTCCTATAATTATCCGAGGTTGAAATCAACAATGTTCTGACTGAATCAAGCGGACTGAATCATATTACATCAACAAATAAAGGTACAGGACGTCTTCGAAAAAGATTGCCACCTTCCCGCTATTCATCGTTCTATCTGTGACGTATTTGTAAAGAAAGGAAGCTCAAAGAAATTAACAGGTTCACAGTGACTGCCTATTTTAAAGCGAAATATGATCGAGCGTTTCGTAATAAAATTGTAAGATGCAAGTAACAGGAAACAATGTGCATTTTTGTTCGCACCCGTACAAATTTTTCGTCCTATCAACACAAAATTGTTTAACACGACCGAGATAAGCTGCCCAATACTATTGGTCGATCCTTATCTGTTAGGGTATGTACACAGCAGGTAATACGATGGTCAAATAAGGTGAATGCTTGCATATCATCTCTCTTATGTCAACCATGTTTACAGATATGTCGGGATAAAATGACATGATAAAATTTTAATTGTTTTTGTTTAAAAAACAGATATTTAAAAATTTTATCTTAGAAAAGTATTATATCCGAAATCAAATGCTCAGTATGAAGTTGAATTGTTTGTTTTTTAAATGCGTTTTCTTGTAAACAATTGCAATGTAAACCAGCGCTTGCATAAAAATTTATTCCTGCAGTTTTTTTTTCGTCTCCTGAAACGTAGTTAGTCTTCAGTCTATAATAGTATCATGTTTTGAATTTGAAAAGTTACGCGTAGAAGTCTCACTACCGTAGGTAAAATTCCACCAGAACAACTGAATAAAAGAGCGTCCTGGACAACACATGCAAACCTACAATCTTGGATAGGGTGATATGCGATATGGTTGTTTTAACTACACTGTTTGACGACCAATTTAAGATCAGTACACAAGTTCTCACGCAGTCTCTGGAAACTGATAAAATAGAATCAATTTTTTCTTCATATTTTTAGAACACTATCAACATGCACGACACAAAATCAAAAAACAGTTAATTGTCTCATGATTTCGATACATGTTGTCTTCGGCACAGTTATGTGCCTGAGGTATATCCGTTATTTCATGTTTATCTTGAGTTCTCTCGTAATCTTTATTGACATGGATTAAAACTTCAATATGTTGTTGCTCATGACCTAGAGGTATGCCGCTTTTCCAAGGCTAAGGTCACTTGGTAATGAAATAGTTAAAACCCTTGGAATGATGTTGGTCGCACGCGTGACGCAGGGTTAGAGCGTTTGCTCTAGAGTCGTGAATTTAGGAGTTGATCCTTACGTCACGGGTTCAAATCCACTGTGTGATGCGGAGACCGGTCCTTCGGATGAGTCCGTATAACCGAGGTCATGTGTCGCAGTAGGTGCTGGCACGAGAAAGATCCCTCACTGCTCAAAAGCCGTAAGTGCCGAGTACATGTTTAAATTTGCAGCCCTCCACCGGCAATTGGCAGCGTCTCAATATGAGTCACAAAATCTCAAAAGGACGCTAAACAAACAAACAAACATATATTGTAGAATCATTAACTTTGAATTGATTATATTTTTCAATGAAAAAATTTCCGATGCAGTACTAGTAATACGTTTAAATTCAAGATTCTTTTAACTTTAATCCCAAAGTAATGGTGTGTGTGTTATAACTGGCAAAAAATATTTGTAATTAGACAGCAATTTTTTTTTATGAGTCGGAGACCTTTTAATACTCTATAATTTCGATTTGATTTTACGAATAAATGGGTAAATAGAGTACTGGGGCGTGTCCAACAAGAAAACAAAAAAAATTGTCTGAAATTACTTGACTGATTTTTTTTAAGGTAATTGCTCGTTACAATGCAAGCAATAATGAACAAAATCAGTTTAAATTCTAATGACGATGAATACTAATAGTGATGTTAGAATTTTAATGACGTAAAGTCAGTTTCACTTGAGGTAAAGTTGCATGAAAATATAGTCGATTTCAGACAAGATGCCATATTGCACGGTACATCAGTCGACGGAGCGCTCGCTCCGTGATCGGGAGGTCGTGAGTTCGAATCTCGGCCGCGACTGACCTAAGTCGATAAAAAAATGGGTAGCAACTGTTCCTTCGCCATACGCTCGGCACTTTGAAGTGAAAGTTGCGGGTCCTTCGGATGAGACCTTAAAAACCGAGGCCCCGTGTCACGGCAGGCGTTGGCACGATAAAGATCCCTCACTGCTCAATGGCCCTGAGTGCCGAGTAAAGGACAAAATTTGAAGTCCTTCACCGGTATATGGTGACGTCTCTATATTAGCGAAAAATTCTCGAATGGGATGTGAAACAACATACAATCAATCAATCATGTCGCGATGTCGTTGATTTTGAATAGGAATAAGATCAGTACAATTGAAAATAATATTAATAAGATAGAGGTAGATCTCACTTAGTTCGGACACTACTAAAAGAGATCAAAGCATAAAGGTCTTTTTTTTATACACGTATTTAGACATGAGCTGCACGCATCTTCAGGAGACTTCTGATTTAAGTGGGTGTGTTCAGTGTACATGTTCATATAATAGGAAGCAGTTACTGTGGAATCATCATTGTTGGTAGGGGACCAATGTTCGAGGATTTCGTGGGTCAACTTTATTTACGAACTAACATCCCCACGAACAGTTAATTTGTCAACGTATTCATTAAATATCCTGTATATACGAGTTACCTAAAAATCACGTCACAACGAATCAATTAGATATTGCTTGCGAACAGTAATCAAGCTTAAAAGTCCATTGAAACAATACAAATAGGGAGCAGAGCAATCACGGACCTCTAAAAACACAGAGGTTGGATGGAGGAGTAAGCATTGCCTGTCGACCGGTCACACCCGCTGTTTGCTTGTCATAATCGGTAAAACAGAAAAGTCCGTAGACAATTCAGTGTGAAAATAATTGCCTAACAATTTGTATGATAAACTTCAGTCAATATTCGACTTGTTAATAGACTGTATTAAATTTTGCTAACAAGGTCATTGTATCTACCATTGAATTTGCGTAATGTCGACTTTAAACGAGACTGTCGATATTCTTGTTTCATCAGCTTATTTTTCAATAGCTTGTCTCATTTTAGAAATTGTTTGTACGCAGAGCATGCTCTTGCGTATCGAATCAAATGGGAGAGATAAACTGCATATATAGGTGATAATGGTACAGTGAAACCTGTCTTATCCGACATGCTGCGGGAAATAAAATCAATGTCGGATTACTCAGTGTTGAATATTTCTGAGCGTTATGATTGGTGTCAAATAACTTCAAAAACCATTTTTCATTAGGTTTAGAGTACACGTGTATTTAATTGTCAAAATGTTTGCATAATTGTGTGTTTCTTTGTTGTATAAAATATACCTTCGTTAATTAACATTTCTTTGAGCATTAGTAAACTCTGTAGTAATATACGATGTTTGTTTTTCTAATGGACAAATCAACTGCCGATCGCTTCGAGATGTTGCAATTTAATTTTTAGCATTTTACTAAAGCAGTAGATGGTTAAGTAAATATTTCGTTTACATGTACCTTCTTTACACAGTGGTATTTTTTTTCTACACTACATTTCTCTCCGAATTTTCTCCACTGTTTACTTCTCAACATAGACTGTGCTATTAATACCGTCACGCGACTTTTCATACAAAACCGGACGTAACTCTAAAACATTGTGATTTTTATCAAACAATCGTAATATTTTATAATTTAATGGGCAACTTAAAGCGGTATTTTTGCTTCCGGCAAATCCTTTATGTGCACAGCCTTGCTTAATTCAGTGTATATTAACCCTGAAATGAAACTTTTTCTTTTAGACAAGATGTACCATTCAACTTGTGTATTGTCTACATGTTGCGTTCGCCGTACTCTTTTTTTTTCGGGACATGGCTTTATGAAGGACTGACTGCATGTTTGATTTTAATTTCAAGCTGAAAATCTTAATGTAATCAAAATATCATGTACTCTTTTTATTTTCTGTCGCGTGAATGCGAGAATAAAACTGATAACAACAAAGAGAATTGATTGCCTAATTTTTTAATTAAAAAACTGATCATTTAACGCTTACATAAACACTTTCAAACTTACATGTAATTAACTACTCTCCAAGTAGACCATTCTTGTGGCCAAACGGGACATTCATGTCACCTGGCCTGCGGCTAATTACGGAACACCCGTGTAATTATGTCGGATTACCCAGGTGAAATCATAATGTAATTATTTAGTCTTGATGATGACAAAAAAGCGCCGGAATTCGGAATGTACAGTGGTCGGAATATACAGTGTTTTGTTTTATATAAAATTTAAAGAAATTTTTGGGAATAAAATATGAGGTCGGAAAGTCCAGTGTGCCGGATTGCACAGTTGTCGGATTGGACAATGGGCACTGTATATTGGTACATAAATAAGGGAAGTTGATGATGGAGAAGTTGAAGTCATCTCGTTTATCATCAAGTTTTGTTGTTAGGTTACCATTAACGTCTTTTTCCAGTAAAATATCCAAATAGGAAACAGATGTGTAAGACTCTGTGGTATCTTATTTCGAGTTCAAAGGGATATTAATATCAAATCAACCTTGGAATGAAAATGAATATTGTTAATCGATAAAACGTCGTCGAAATATCTAAATGTTGAATTGAAGGCCACAGCAAGTGACTTAATTCTTTTCATGTAGGAGTTTTTGAATAAATTCTACTTCATATGAATACAAAAATAGGTCTGCTAATAACGGAGCGCAATTAGTACCCATGGAAATTCCGACAGATTGTTGGAAGATTTGATCTCCAAAAACTACATAGATATTGTCAATCAGAAAGTCAAGCATCTTTTTAATATCAACTTCGGAGTACTTGTGTGTACAATCAGAATGTTTTTAACAAAATAATTTTGCAAATGACCAATGGCAAGGTAAACAAATTTACGAGTTCCATCTTTAAATTCAAATTAAAATTCACTGATCGAAGCGAAATATATAAACTTTCAATATGAATGATTCTCAGCTCCCAGGCACATTACTTCTGGTTGAAGCCTTTCTTAATATATTTTTTTTAACTACCTGACAATAAATATGTGGGTAAACGTGTAAAAATATTTTGAGTGCTTGGATTACATGAAAATGTGAGTTACATGCAACCTTAAAGCACTGTA